TACTCCTTCAAGTTATGGCATGACATGATTAGAGTGGATGTTATGGACAAGTGCTTGCATGTGAAGTCAGTGTTCCTCATGCCTTTCCCGAACTTCGTGAAGGATACCAAGACCTTGCATGATTCCAAAGATTCTTTTGAATAATCTAAATATGAGTTTCCATTCTCAAGAATCCATGTCTTTCCGTCTATTTGTCTCAGGGGAAACTTCGAGGCATTGGTTAGTAGAGGAGGGGAACCTCTCCAGGACATCATGCGGCTTGAGGCTTTAAGGCTGCGATCCTTTAATGGGGTGAATATTGAAGCGCCAGCCTTAGTCCTTGCTAGAGAAGGGTTGTATGCTACAGGAGATGGTGACGAGACTAGATGTTTCAGCTGCGGCATCAGGCACAGGAACTGGAGACGAAGGGACAGGCCTGCCGATGTCCATCTTGAAGATTGTTGTAGGCATAATTCAAGAAATATACGATTTGCCAACAACCCCTTGCCTTCGGGGAATCAGCCTGTCCGAACTCACCTTGCGCTGCAAGATCATGACGTACACCCAGTCAGGATCTCCAGAAATCCTGTTATCATCCCCGGTAGCAGTAGAGGAAACCGTGCACACATGCTCCAGCCAACAGGTGATTACAGTACATTCACAGAACGTCTCTCTACATATCGAAACTGGCCACATGGAAGAGATGTTGCTTTGCCAGCCGCCATTGCCAGAGCTGGTTTCTTCTACGAAGGTAAGACGTTATATAATATCTATATTTTGTGTCTCTCATGTCTTATCTCATGTCTTATGTCATGTCTTGTCTCATGTCTTGCCTAATGTCTTGTCTCTCGTTTTGTGTCATGTCTTGTGGACCCGTGAAGATCCGGGGTAGAATAGATCTTCAGCAACCCATGCTTGCCGTGAAAGGCGACTATGCTTGTCGTAAAAGGCGACTAACGGGATCGGGTGATCAGGCTCGCTTACTTGGTTGATGCATGCCATCGATCCCAATTGTGTGGATCGATGCTCATGATATTAATCACTGGATTGTCTGGTCCAGACTCGATTATTTACAGACCGCCGTCATATAGCTGGAATATTGCTGAGTGCGGCGTTAAACAACAAACCAACCAACCAAATCATGTCTTCTGTTATGTCTTGCCTCATGTCTTGTCTCTCGTTTTGTATCATGTCTTGTATCATGTCTCATCTCATGGGTTGTCTCATGTTTTGTCTCATTATTCGTCACATGGTTTTTCTCATAACAATATCTTGTACCAAATCGCTAAATGTTTAAAAACATTATCAATAACGATGGAATGCTTACATTGGAACTACAAAAATCATTCCTTTCAAATAATGTCAATGCATTTTTTTTTTTTTTATTTCTTGGAGGTTTCGCTGATACTGTCCGGTGTTTCGCATGTTTGACTGCCTTGCGAGACTGGGAACCAGGAGACGATCCCTGGATAGAGCACGTAAGATGGAGGCCAAGGTGTGATTACATAGAATTTGTGAGAGGTCAAAGACACAGACGGGCGGTTGTCACCAGCATGGCCCAGGTATTGTATTATTATTGATTTTTGAAAACATAAGATTCACAATTTGGTTATTCGGCACCTTTCTCCATAGCATTATGATTAAACAAGTCTTTATGTCACATGCAGAAAACAGTCCTATTACATTTACCGGTTGTATTTTAAACAGGCACGTCGTGGATGCGGCCGTGATCCTCCATATGGACAAAGGGAAAATTGTAAGTTTCCTTACCTGTACACTGGATGAACGGTACATATGCATGTAAATTCCCCATGCTTAATTATTGCAGCATTCTTCATGATAGTCCAAATTAGAATAAACAATAAATTAGTGACTGAGTGAGTTGGATTTTATGCCGCTTTTAACAATGTCCCAAGGTCACGGCAGATTTAACTAAGGATACGAACAAGAAGTCGTGTTCAAAGTTCCTTATGAATAATCACTGTCATGTTATATTGTATGTTTTGTTAATTATTATCAGTAATTACGTGTTGAGTTTGTATCTCTGATTTGGCGCTGCAGATCCTTTGGGACTTTGTCTCGAGATGGGCTACAGCCAGCACGATATCTTGGAGGCTGCACGTATTATCGAGAGAGGTAGCGAAGTGTTTATTTGTCATTAAAACATGTATGAAGGCGTTGAACTAAGGTTGTTCGGGTTTGGTTCCATGTAAAGAACTGTAATTATTTCACAGTTCATTATCATACAAGAAGTGATATATGTATCATGCCGTCAGTCAGACAGGTACGAATTATACACATTCAGTGTAACAGCATTACTGGCTGAGAACGTTGAAACTCACAATGACATGCACTGATGTCAGAGACCGAGAGATAACGTCATGTACCTTTTGGCAACCAATCCGAAACTTAACTTTGAATAACGAGACTTCGTTGTCATCTTTCAGATAGAGCTGTACTTTCGCTTGAACTGCTTCTCGACAAGTTGATGGTACTAGCAGATGGCACCTCGGTAGATTACAGCTCACAAGCGCGTGGGGGGAATTGTATTGGTTGTGGGATTCAGCCAATTGCAATAAGGTTTATTCCGTGTGACCACCGTGTATTCTGCAACAGATGCGCTGAAGACTTCAGTAGGTGCCCCCTCAGAGAGTGTGGACGAGCTATTCAGGGCGTCGAATGGATGTAGAACATAAGCCGGCACACTACCAGCTTGACGAAAATACGCACATTTCATAATAAATGCATGTTCACTCTTCCTTAGTTGTTGTTTTGGATATCGAATTCTAAGACTGTTTGACTCAGGTAGAAAAAATATTTTCTTAATGATACTATCTCAGAAAGAAAATATGAAATGTATACAAAACAGACAATATTAACGCGAATTTCAATCTATCCAAGACTTTTGTCCTGGAGATATGTTTAAATCAATCCCTTTACTGTTGCCCCCGTGAAGATCCGGGTTACAATTGGTCTTCAGCAACCCATGCGTGTCGTAAAACTAACGGGACCGGGTTAGACTCGCTGATTCGGTTGATGCACGTAATGGTATCCCAATTGCGTAGATCGATGCCCATGATGTCATTCACTGGATTTTATATGGATATGTCAGGCAATTAGAGCTGTAAATATGTTTCTTAAAAAAATTCGATATCTGTATATAAATATTTTCTTCAACGAATGGCATTCCACTTTGCCGGGTAGTTCACGTTACGATATTTACTTAACTTTCAAGCAAGATCTTTCTTCAATCAGAAATTTATTTATCAGTACTTGCAACGGAAAGCTTCAAAAAACATTTAATTAATTATCCACTTGGTGTATTCGACCTATTTGTAAATGAAAGAAGAAAATTGTTCATTGAAATATCGGAAAAAAATTGTCCATTATGTTATATAGAGATAGAAAATGAAATCCATTTTGTGTTTGTCTATTTATTATGCATGTATCTGATACTGATTCGTGAGCAAAATTATATATTCACATTAATACAAGCAATTAACAAAGATAAATGAAATTCCCAACACTATAATAATAAAGTAACCAAGGATTCCACTTCATTCATTCGCATGAATACCAACGCATGTCATTTCAAATGCATCACACTACATATTTGAATCTATGGTGGAAATGGATCAAAATAAATAAAAGGAAAACTAGCATTTGTCATTATAAAAAAACAAGATGCCCATGTATATGTATATGCAATATTATTAAAATTAATATTCATATTGGTGTCGGGGCGGTCGGGTAGCCTAGTGGTTAAAGCGTTCGCTTGTCACGCCGAAGACCTGAGTTCGATTCCCGACATCGGTACAATGTGTGAAGCCCCGCCGGGATATTGCTGGAATATTGCTAAAAGCGGAGTAAAACCAGATTCAGTCAGTCAGTCATACTGGTGTCAGGAAGACAATGTAGGTGCGGGACGTTTTTGGATAAGACAATTCACAGTCTGTATATACAACAATACCAAATAGCTTAACGTAATAGAAGTATACAGAACACCTTTATAACTATAACGTTTCATAAAACAAGAAACACGCACACGTTGCTCATTCGAATTCAGTACGTACATTTGAGAGAAACTGCATCCTTCCCGGAGAAAGGAATCATGTAAATACTTAGTGTTTATTATTCTCATTTTGTTATTCTATGTTCGATTGCGTATGAAATGAAAATGTACACTCAACATTGTCAAGAAAGAAAGTGTTTATCATATTGTTTAATTTGATGATAAGTAATCGAAAGATTACAGCAATGTTCGGTTCAGCAGCATACATCGTATCGTTAATGTTAAAAAAAGATGGCTGAAAATTTATATAATTACCATCGTTTTTGCTACAGCATCAAATACTGTCCACATTACAACTATTCTCTATGCCTCAGGGACAACCACACAACGTATATATGTGTCCAGTGTCTGCCTGTATGCCACGCTTCTCCCGTACAGGTTACACACAACCAAATGTTTTTTCCATAGACTTCTATAGTAACGTTATATTTTTTTTTAAAATAACTAAGCATTCAATAGCTATTACCTGTACGTGTGTGCACAGTTTGGCCTTAGAGCAGCAATAAAAATATAAAAAAAACTAGCTTAGTCAGCTCCTTTTCCGAGTACCGGAAGCTAAACACAACACCCCCAGTTTCGCACCAAATGTCACCTACTTGAAAATAGCTGTGGTCACATTCAGCATAAGTCATCATGTTGAAAAAGACAGTACTAATATAGAAAAACATGGTCAGTTTTACTAACTGGATGGATGTACATTTGAAAGACATAAAAATCTTACAGAATATCCTCCAATCACAGCCTGCAGATATCTCTCGACCTGCACTGAAGGCTCCCTACGAAAACCGCACTGTCCAAACTGGTACTGATTTGGTGTAGTAGAACCTGTAGCGCGGTTCACAGGTCACGTTGACCTGGGCGACGACCGATTACTGAGTCAGAAATAGCACTTGGGATATCCCAGTCAGGAGTAAAACTAGAATCGACGTGTCCCTGCCTTATAAATAGACTTGCATTCTTTGTGTGCGAGCTGCGGGTTAGATTATTTATGTTGCATACACGACTTGCAAAGGGACGCAACCGAACTAACCGGCAGAATTACTGGTCTGAATGACGCACGGCTGTAACATGACTTCCTTTTCTGATCGGAATGATTGAGTCACAGCCAGCCGACGCCATGTTACCACCATATCCGTAAGTTGTTTGAGTCCACACTTGATCCTAAAACATCTATATGGCGTTGTTGTTACATGCAGACCTTGCTGATCTGTGTCACTATTGATCTCTTACAGTATTAATGAATATCTGTTTACCGTAACTCACAGTGAATGTAAAAACCTGGCTATCTAGCGTCACAACATTATGGTCGTTAGTTGATAATATATTATGCGTATATTGCTAATGTATAACTCCATATTCTATACATGTAGGTGTCACCAAATGTAGAGCTACCATGTACAGTGAATGTATCATAGCGTCTTCCTCCAAGCGTCTCTCATCTTACATGACATCAGCACATTATAACCAGCCACAGTATCAATGATCATCTGTGTAACATACCGATATAACAAGTGTCATATTTAATAAGAAGTACTTGTGGTCTAACAGTGCTTGAATGCTTATTCTTTGTGACGCAATGTTAAACATGTTAACAACTTCCTGTATCCCCAGGCAGGCACATCAAGTTGTGTAAAGACCCGGCAGCTCTCTTCGATAACTACAGGGTTACAAAGTACACTGTGTCAAGTGCAATGGCTCCACAACCAGCCGAGGAAGATATCTGAAAGAAGCGATTCAACGTATATACATTTGGAATATTGCTAAAAGCGACTTAAACCCTTACTCACATACGTTTTGAATTATATAGTGTCTGTTGAAAAGTATTAAAATGCATCAGTTCGATGTCTCCTAAATTCTCATTCTCGCATCTTCACCATGATTATTTGAACTTCAGAGGAAAGACTGGTTTTGACAACAATGAAGCCGAAGCAATTCCTGTACTCCATCAAGTTATGGCATGGCATGATTAGAGTGGATGTTATGGACAAGTGCTTGCATGTGAAGTCAGTGTTCCTCATGCCTTTCCCGAACTCCGTGAAGGATACCAAGACCTTGCATGATTCCAAAGATTCTTTTGAATATTCTAAATATGAGTTTCCATTCTCAAGAATCCATGTCTTTCCGTCTATTTGTCTCAGGGGAAACTTCGAGGCATTGGTTAGTAGAGGAGGGGAACCTCTCCAGGACAGCATGCGGCTTGAGGCTTTAAGGCTGCGATCCTTTAATGGGGTGAATATTGAAGCGCCAGCCTTAGTCCTTGCTAGAGAAGGGTTGTATGCTACAGGAGATGGGGACGAGACTAGATGTTTCAGCTGCGGCATCAGGCACAGGAACTGGAGACGAAGGGACAGGCCTGCCGATGTCCATCTTGAAGATTGTTGTAGGCATAATTCAAGAAATATACGATTTGCCAACAACCCCTTGCCTTCGGGGAATCAGCCTGTCCGAACTCACCTTGCGCTGCAAGATCATGACGTACACCCAGTCAGGAACTCCAGAGATCCTGTTATCATCCCCGGTAGCAGTAGAGGAAACCGTGCACACATGCTCCAGCCAACAGGTGATTACAGTACATTCACAGAACGTCTCTCTACATATCGAAACTGGCCACATGGAAGAGATGTTGCTTTGCTAGCCGCCATTGCCAGAGCTGGTTTCTTCTACGAAGGTAAGACGTAAATATATAATATCTATATTTTGTGTCTCTCATGTCTTATCTCATGTCTTATGTCATGTCTTGTCTCATGTCTTGCCTAATGTCTTGTCTCTCGTTTTGTGTCATGTCTTGTGGACCCGTGAAGATCCGGGGTAGAATAGATCTTCAGCAACCCATGCTTGCTGTGAAAGGCGACTATGCTTGTCGTAAAAGGCGACTAACGGGATCGGGTGATCAGGCTCGCTTACTTGGTTGATGCATGCCATCGATCCCAATTGTGTGGATCGATGCTCATGATATTAATCACTGGATTGTCTGGTCCAGACTCGATTATTTACAGACCGCCGTCATATAGCTGGAATATTGCTGAGTGCGGCGTTAAACAACAAACCAACCAACCAAATCATGTCTTGTGTTATGTCTTGCCTCATGTCTTGTCTCTCGTTTTGTATCATGTCTTGTATCATGTCTCATCTCATGGGTTGTCTCATGTTTTGTCTCATTATTCGTCACATGGTTTTTCTCATAACAATATCTTGTACCAAATCGCTAAATGTTTAAAAACATTATCAATAACGATGGAATGCTTACATTGGAACTACAAAAATCATTCCTTTCAAATAATGTCAATGCATTTTATTTTTTTTTATTTCTTGGAGGTTACGCTGATACTGTCCGGTGTTTCGCATGTTTGACTGCCTTGCGAGACTGGGAACCAGGAGACGATCCCTGGATAGAGCACGTAAGATGGAGGCCAAGGTGTGATTACATAGAATTTGTGAGAGGTCAAAGACACAGACGGGCGGTTGTCACCAGCATGGCCCAGGTATTGTATTATTATTGATTTTTGAAAACATAAGATTTCACAATTTGGTTATTCGGCACCTCTCTCCATATCATCATGATTAAACAAGTCTTTATGTCACATGCAGAAAACAGTCCTATTACATTTACCGGTTGTATTTTGAACAGGCACATCGTGGATGCGGCCATGATCCTCCATATGGACAAAGGGAAAATGGTAAGTTTCCTTACCTGTACACTGGATGAACGGTACATATGCATGTAAATTCCCCATGCTTAATTATTGCAGCATTCTTCATGATAGTCCAAATTAGAATAAACAATGAATTAGTGACTGAGTGAGTTGGATTTTATGCCGCTTTTAACAATGTCCCAAGGTCACGGCAGATTTAACTAAGGATACGAACAAGAAGTCGTGTTCAAAGTTCCTTATGAATTATCACTGTCATGTTATATTGTATGTTTTGTTAATTATTATCAGTAATTACGTGTTGAGTTTTTATCTCTGATTTGGCGCTGCAGATCCTTTGGGGCTTTGTCTCGAGATGGGCTACAGCCAGCACGATATCTTGGAGGCTGCACGTATTATCGAGAGAGGTAGCGAAGTGTTTATTTGTCATTAAAACATGTATGAAGGCGTTGAACTAAGGTTGTTCGGGTTTGGTTCCATGTAAAGAACTGTAATTATTTCACAGTTCATTATCATACAAGAAGTGATATATGTATCATGCCGTCAGTCAGACAGGTACGAATTATACACATTCAGTGTAACAGCATTACTGGCTGAGAACGTTGAAACTCACAATGACATGCACTGATGTCAGAGACCGAGAGATAACGTCATGTACCTTTTGGCAACCAATCCGAAACTTAACTTTGAATAACGAGACTTCGTTGTCATCTTTCAGATAGAGCTGTACTTTCGCTTGAACTGCTTCTCGACAAGTTGATGGTACTAGCAGATGGCACCTCGGTAGATTACAGCTCACAAGCGCGTGGGGGGAATTGTATTGGTTGTGGGATTCAGCCAATTGCAATAAGGTTTATTCCGTGTGACCACCGTGTATTCTGCAACAGATGCGCTGAAGACTTCAGTAGGTGCCCCCTCAGAGAGTGTGGACGAGCTATTCAGGGCGTCGAATGGATGTAGAACATAAGCCGGCACACTACCAGCTTGACGAAAATACGCACATTTCATAATAAATGCATGTTCACTCTTCCTTAGTTGTTGTTTTGGATATCGAATTCTAAGACTGTTTGACTCAGGTAGAAAAAATATTTTCTTAATGATACTATCTCAGAAAGAAAATATGAAATGTATACAAAACAGACAATATTAACGCGAATTTCAATCTATCCAAGACTTTTGTCCTGGAGATATGTTTAAATCAATCCCTTTACTGTTGCCCCCGTGAAGATCCGGGTTACAATTGGTCTTCAGCAACCCATGCGTGTCGTAAAACTAACGGGACCGGGTTAGACTCGCTGATTCGGTTGATGCACGTAATGGTATCCCAATTGCGTAGATCGATGCCCATGATGTCATTCACTGGATTTTATATGGATATGTCAGGCAATTAGAGCTGTAAATATGTTTCTTAAAAAAATTCGATATCGGTATATAAATATTTTCTTCAACGAATGGCATTCCACTTTGCCGGGTAGTTCACGTTACGATATTTACTTAACTTTCAAGCAAGATCTTTCTTCAATCAGAAATTTATTTATCAGTACTTGCAACGGAAAGCTTCAAAAAACATTTAATTAATTATCCACTTGGTGTATTCGACCTATTTGTAAATGAAAGAAGAAAATTGTTCATTGAAATATCGGAAAAAAATTGTCCATTATGTTATATAGAGATAGAAAATGAAATCCATTTTGTGTTTGTCTATTTATTATGCATGTATCTGATACTGATTCGTGAGCAAAATTATATATTCACATTAATACAAGCAATTAACAAAGATAAATGAAATTCCCAACACTATAATAATAAAGTAACCAAGGATTCCACTTCATTCATTCGCATGAATACCAACGCATGTCATTTCAAATGCATCACACTACATATTTGAATCTATGGTGGAAATGGATCAAAATAAATAAAAGGAAAACTAGCATTTGTCATTATAAAAAAACAAGATGCCCATGTATATGTATATGCAATTATAGTATTAAAATTAATATTCATATTGGTGTCGGGGCGGTCGGGTAGCCTAGTGGTTAAAGCGTTCGCTTGTCACGCCGAAGACCTGAGTTCGATTCCCGACATCGGTACAATGTGTGAAGCCCCGCCGGGATATTGCTGGAATATTGCTAAAAGCGGAGTAAAACCAGATTCAGTCAGTCAGTCATACTGGTGTCAGGAAGACAATGTAGGTGCGGGACGTTTTTGGATAAGAAAATTCACAGTCTGTATATACAACAATACCAAATAGCTTAACGTAATAGAAGTATACAGAACACCTTTATAACTATAACGTTTCATAAAACAAGAAACACGCACACGTTGCTCATTCGAATTCAGTACGTACATTTGAGAGAAACTGCATCCTTCCCGGAGAAAGGAATCATGTAAATACTTAGTGTTTATTATTCTCATTTTGTTATTCTATATTCGATTGCGTATGAAATGAAAATGTACACTCAACATTGTCAAGAAAGAAAGTGTTTATCATATTGTTTAATTTGATGATAATTAATCGAAAAATTACAGCAATGTTCGGTTCAGCAGCATACATCGTATCGTTAATGTTAAAAAAAGAGAGCTGAAAATTTATATAATTACCATCGTTTTTGCTACAGCATCAAATACTGTCCACATTAAAACTATTCTCTATGCCTCAGGGACAAAGGCCCGATATAACAACCACACAACGTATATATGTGTCCAGTGTCTGCCTGTATGCCACGATTCTCCCGTACAGGTTACACACAACCAAATGTTTTTCCATAGACTTCTATAGTAACGTTATATTTTTTTTTAAAATAACTAAGCATTCAACAGCTATTACCTGTACGTGTGTGCACAGTTTGGCCTTAGAGCAGCAATAAAAATATAAAAAAAAGACTAGCTTAGTCAGCTCCTTTTCCGAGTACCGGAAGCTAAACACAACACCCCCAGTTTCGCACCAAATGTCACCTACTTGAAAATAGCTGTGGTCACATTCAGCATAAGTCATCATGTTGAAAAAGACAGTACTAAATATAGAAAAACATGGCCAGTTTTACTAACTGGATGGATGTACATTTGAAAGACATAAAAATCTTACAGAATATCCTCCAATCACAGCCTGCAGATATCTCTCGATCTGCACTGAAGGCTCCCTACGAAAACCGCACTCTCCAAACTGGTACTGATTTGGTGTAGTAGAACCTGTAGCGCGGTTCACAGGTCACGTTGACCTGGGCGACGACCGATTACTGAGTCAGAAATAGCACTTGGGAAATACCAGTCAGGAGTAAAACTAGAATTGACGTGTCCCTGCCTTATAAATAGACTTGCATTCTTTGTGTGCGAGCTGCGGGTTAGATTATTTATGTTGCATACACGACTTGCAAAGGGACGCAACCGAACTAACCGGCAGAATTACTAGTCTGAATGACGCACGGCTGTAACATGACTTCCTTTTCTGATCGGAATGATTGAGTCACAGCCAGCCGACGCCATGTTACCACCATATCCGTAAGTTGTTTAAGTCCACACTTGATCCTAAAACATCTATATGGCGTTGTTGTTACATGCAGACCTTGCTGATCTGTGTCACTATTGATCTCTTACAGTATTAATGAATATCTGTTTACCGTAACTCACAGTGAATGTAAAAACCTGGCTATCTAGCGTCACAACATTATGGTCGTTAGTTGATAATATATTATGCGTATATTGCTAATGTATAACTCCATATTCGATACATGTAGGTGTCACCAAATGTAGAGCTACCATGTACAGTGAATGTATTAGCGTCTTCCTCCAAGCGTCTCTCATCTTACATGACATCAGCACATTATAACCAACCACAGTATCAATGATCATCTGTGTAACATACCCATATAACAAGTGTCATATTTAATAAGAAGTACTTGTGGTCTAACAGTGCTTGAATGCTTTTTCTTTGTGACGCAATGTGAAACATGTTAACAACTTCCTGTATCCCCAGGCAGGCACATCAAGTTGTGTAAAGACCCGGCAGCTCTCTTCGATAACTACAGGGTTACAAAGTACACTGTGTCAAGTGTAAAGGCTCCACAACCAGCCTAGGAAGATATCTGAAAGAAGCGATTCAACGTATCTACATTTTATTGCTGTTGGAAACAGTATCTCGGTACGAGGCATATTTCATGATACGGTCTGATAACTACCGCATTGTATTGACGAGTCGAGATATCATACATGAAGCAGCGAGGATGGGTGGTGTGAAAATGATATTGATTCTATGGCTCCCTCCAATTGCATGTAGATATAGGACGGAAATATCAAGCGATGTTGTTCCCCGACCAACATTTAGTCATCAATTGATCGATACAGATGTCCTACATTCTCTGCTGATCAACCACAAATCCCCTGCTGATATACTGAGTCCGCCCTTGAATGACATGACCACAGATTCAACATTTGTAAATGTGTCTGAAGCAGGAGGATATATTTACCCCACTCTGAAAGATCTCTGGTCTGTTGTGACTCTTACACAATGTGACCTGGCTAGTAAATGCAACCTGTCTCAGTCAAAATCAGGATCTTTTCAGGACTGCAGTGTTGTCGATGCAAATAATCCATTGTTACAACGTAGCAATACAGTAGGTGAAATGGAATCATGTGTCAGCACGTCTCATGTTGCCATGATGTATGTACATAAAATGTGTATATTGCTGGTGTCAGAGGAAGTCTGGCAAAAAGCCAGTGCACTTGTAGGTAGCTTTATCGTTCTAGATGTATGCAGCAGAAATAGAAATGGCGGTGACCATATCAATGACAAAACAACTCATACATCATTTATTGAGAGCAATATTTTCAAGCTGGTCTGTTCATATACGCGCCCAGTGTTTAGTTGTGTGTTAAACATGGACTGGAACACAATACAACGTCATATATTCAGGACTTGGCACTTGCGAGAATTGAATCTAGGACTATCTGACTTTGTAAATCTTGGAGAAACTCATTATGGCACTCATGTTCTCCAATGGATATTGGAATGTAGTCAAAACACACAAACATTGAACACACAGGAATATGAATATGGTTTGAACGTCCATGTGTCTGAAATACCAGCTGATGCATGTGAAGTTCAACCTCGTGGAGATTTGCATCATCTGATACCTACACCTTCGCACATTACAAACGTATCACATATGATGCAAATTAGTGAAGATAATATTTTGCAAAAACAGATTACTGGCGAAAGCATATCATACAATGATGATATATGTAATGATGATGATACAGAGAAGCATAATAGGCGTCTGTCTACAGCAGATAGGAGGGAACACAAACTTGTTTTACATACGGTGGATCAACTGAGTTCCTTGCATATTTATAGTGAGAATAGTCATGATTTGTCTGTAACACTGGAAGAGGACTTACCTTCCATTTTTGACAAAAGAGAGGCGTTTAACCTTTTTCAAAAAATGACTGACAAAAGATCCCAGTATACTTGCCCATCATTTCAGCAGAAATCAGAGGAAGAGTTGAAACACATTGATAAAGATGCATTGTACGGAGATGGATTTACAAGATATATAAACACATGGCAAGAAGTAACAGTTGCACCCTTCTATTCCCTACGACAATACTTCAGAAAATTGGAAACCGGGGAGGATTTCCTTCAAGATGAAAAGATGATATATGAAGCATTGCGACTGGGATCATTCTGTGGTATTAACATAAATGCATTTTGCATCCATCTGGCTGCAGCGGGGTTCTACGCCACAGGAGACGGGGATGAAACCAGATGCTTTAGTTGCGGCATCAGGCACAGGGGCTGGCAACAGAAGGACAATCCGTTCTTCCTCCATAGACAGATCGCTCCCTCATGTGCCCATATCACTGGAGCTGACGGGAGGAATGTCCCTATCAACCCAAACTCTGAGTCACATCCATCTTCGTGTTCAGTCCAATCGGCTGAAGCTCCCCATGTTGCTGGAGGTGACGGAGGGTTTGCATTTGGTGCTAACACCGACGAGGTCATGAATGGCCCGTCACAAATATCAGAAAGATACGAAACCATGTCAACAGTCGGTCAGGTAAGCTGTGATGGTGGGAGTAAGGGAGCATCATCATCACCAGTCTCCCTCAGCCATCCCGACAGGGTGGATGCAGATGCAGATGCAGGACACACAAGACAGTATCGCGCAGCATGCATCCTGAGGTTCGATGATGCCGTTTATCCACACTACAGCGACAATAAGGTCCGGATGACATCTTTCCAGATGTGGCCTGAACATCATTGCATGAAGCCCGAAGAGCTTGTCCCGGTCGGTTTCTTTTATGCAGGCAAGTAAAACTTTTATTATGTGTCCTAGATGTTGTGCAAACGTACAGGTTCTACTACACCAAATCAGAACCAGTTAGGACAGTGCCTTCAGTGCAGATCGAGAGATGAGGCTGTGATTGGAGGATATTCTGTAATATTTTTATGTCTTTTAAATGTAAATCCATGTTTTTCTATATTTAGTGCCTTTCATGTAGGTGATATTTGGTGCGAAACTGGGGGTGGTGTGTTTATAATTAGCTTCTTGTACTCGGAAAAGGAGCTGGCTAAGCTAGTAATTTTTTATGTTTTTATTGCTGCTCTAAGGCCAAACTGTGCACACACGTACAGGTAATAGCCGTTGAATGCTTAGTTATTTTTGCAAAAAATATAACGTTTCTATAGAAGTCTATGGGAAAACATTTGGTTGTGTGTAACCTACAGACTTCAAATAATGGATCATATAGCTATACGAGTGGGACGTTAAAACAAATAACCAAATAAAGGTCGTATTCTGTCAAATGTGTACATACCTCTATTTCTTACATGATATTGGAAAAAGTGATAGATAGGGACGGTACAGGTTGTGTTGCAGGAAATAACAAAGGTGGAATAGGTGTTGATTGGTTGGTGTGACATAAACATTAATAACGAATGACACCTGAACAGGTTACGCCGACTGTGTTCGCTGTTTTGTCTGCGGTGTTGGTCTGAAGACGTGGGAAGAGGGGGATGACCCCTGGGTGGAGCACGTGCGCTGGAGGTCATCTTGTGCATACGTGAAGGCCATCAAGGGGGATGAGTTTATTGCACAGACACTGGCAGGTGTTGGGCAGAAATTACAGGTATGTTTGAGTATGTAATCGGCCCAAATTGCTGTAAAAATGAAACCGTGAAATAAACTGTCACAAATACAAAGGGCAATGAAGGTATGGGTTGGCAAATAATAACATATGACTTCACAATTGAAAAGAGAGGACACCAATAGTTCCAATAAAGCTAGCGACTGTGATCGTGCAAATGACTATTTTACATTACATCATTTCAGACTGAGCGGACGGGAGCCAATATTCCAGCTACAGGTGCCGAGGGTGTGGTTAGGAATGGTGAGCATCTTCATATAATTTTTATGTCATACAAAAAAGAAACCCGTTCTTGTTAGAACAATATGTTTCAGCAATTGTGTGATCTAAGGAGAATGGTAGTTAACTCCAAAGCGTCATTTGCCAGCATCAACCTCACAATACGTTTTCGCTGCGCCAGGTGTAAATGATATATAAAAACGACAAAATTCTTTCCACAGTCATGTCTTCTTTTTAAAATGTCGTTCCGTACAAATGTGTCAGTGCATTGTGCATGTAACTGATGCCTTGTGTGTCTGATACAGTCCTGACGAACTTATATCACATTCCAATATATATGCAAAAACATAGCATACAGTAGATAGTATCCTTTGCTGCAAATGTAAGATTACATTACTGATCGTTCAGGCGTAAGGTTGTAATAGATATACAATTCATTATCACGAATATATTAAAAATGAAACAGTGTCATGCCTCAGAAGCATTTGTACAGAGACGTGTAAGGTATACAAGTAAGAAAAACAATGGTATAGCTGTTTTAATTTATAATAAATCATTTCTTTATCAGACGCTGGTGATGTCCTTGAACGGGAGGCGTGTCAGCGCGCCCTGGAGATGGGCTACAGCAGAGACTGTGTCAGACAAAATGCTCTGGACATTCTCAGGAACCAGGGTACAGTCTCCCGAAATAGTATATTGGTATTTTGCATTACAGACATGGGTGATGTCATTTCATCTTTGACAAATGTAGTATACATCATAGAAATAAACCACAAACGAATGATACTGATCAGTCTCGATTATCTACAGGGCGTAAAAGGCAAACTAGTAGTGAAATATATATGAATGGATCACTGAAATGACACCATATGTTCACGAAAAGGTTAAGCATGGCCTGCCCAGCCAGCAGCAAGAACGGAAACATTACATATTCAGACGAGCATATAAATATTCGATCTTAAGATGATGAATGGCAGCGAAACACTTTGTGGACGTAACCGAACACTGAATAGCAGTAAAGTGTGGGTAAAATGTTTTTAATAGTTTATTACTCTCTCACTCACCGACTGACTGATCGCTTCGTCAGGCTCTGTGATTTGTTTGATTATACGCTGATGGCGTCGGACGTTGCTTATACTAGTACTTCACGAATAAGACATTGTATTCCTGACAGGCAATGATTCCTTGAAGTTACATGTCCTGGTAGAACGGATCTTACAAGAAGATCTGGAGATATCAGAAGCAGCGTCTGCAACAACAACGCAGACCTCATCAGCGGGACTGCCACATACAAAGTCACACAGCCTACTAGCACCTGGAGAGCAACATGGCAGATCAGCAGGACTACTACAAGGAGATACATACACGGGTATCCTATTTGGACAGCAGCCCGTATTGGGTCAGATAGTGTCGGATGGGGAAGACGAAGGATACGGGGATACGGATGAGCCAACATCGCTTTCAGACAGGAACAGCATTCACAGATCAAGGATGCCAAAGGTTAAAGCCAAAAGTGAGTTCTTGTAGGATTAAAGTTTCTGCTCTGTGCTTTGCCTTTATAATGTACCATTATGTATGAGTAGTGGTTTAATACTTCCTTTAGTAAAACTTCGCAACATGTTGCATTCTGTTATGCCTCCTCATCAAACTTATGTTCAGTCTACCAATATTCTGTAGCCAAGAGGGTACTCCGACAGTCGTCTCAGACATAGGCAAATGCTGATCCCCCTTCTTAATTTATCCCTGATAAAAAAATACATCAATGTAATAAAATCGTTTTCGTTTTTGATTCCTTTTGTATCTTTACAGATAAAGCCAAGGAAGAATTAGAAGCCACAGAGGAAGAGACACAACAGCTACGAGAGTCAAGTGCATGTAAGATCTGTCTGGAGGACCCTGCCAACATCGTCTTTCTACCCTGTGGGCATCTGGTGGCTTGTGCCGTGTGCGCCCCAGCCCTGGAACGTTGCCCAGTCTGCAGGACACACATCCGGGGATCTGTTCGTGTTCACCTTGCTGACATGGCTTCAGTATCCTCGCCGTAACATACCTCACATTGCAGTTTAACCGCTGTTCTTTGTTTGGTGTGACAGAGTGGTTCAGCATGTGTGAATCTGTTGAGAGTAAGTATGTTAAATGCGATATTTGACATGTTCATCCTGTAACTATCAATGAGTAAGTAAGTGAGTGATTAGGGTTTTCCGCTGCTTTTAGCACATTCATGTTCCAGATATATCACCAGGAACACTGCAAATGGGCTTCAGATGTTGTCTTACACCACACAACTGACCCACGATTCATCCATATATCTGTGGGAATTTGAGCGTAAATTTATTTGTTCATAACTTGTTTTCTTTTCAGAACTGCAAATTGGTAGCCACCTCATGTATGTTAACTCACAAACGGAAAATATCTTATATTAACTAATGAATTATTCAGGTTTACCTCATTGTCAAAGCCAAACTAAGATAATCTATGTTTGTTCTCAGCAAAACTAACTATTTCTCTCATCATGTCCAAAGATAATGTTTGTCATAAGATGTTTCTATATCCATATTAATCCCATAAAGGAAGATACTGGAGCATGTATTGGAAAGAGAGTTATGTTTTAACTTTCAGTTGTAAGGAGGTATATCTGTAATCGAGACAATATAATTTCATTTGTAATTCCTGCATTCCAGTTAGCTGAATTGGTCACGTACTATTGCATTCATTTCCCAAACATTTACAACTCTATAAATGTCACTATAATAATGAGTTTATTGTCTCCATGTTAGTCATCACGTCGTGATTTAAGTGCACCGCTAATATAAGACCCAAATCACTCACTCAAACCAAATTTAATGAACGAAAAAACAAACCAACCCAAAAACAACAAGAAATGAATCCACGAACGAACTGTTTGCGGGCGGGCGAACGAACAAACGATTAAAAGTGTTATAAACTCTTTTACCTAGCTCCTGGATTCAGGTAATCATATAATATATGTAGTTGCACATTTGAAATGTTAGAAAATATGAATTCACAAAATTTAGATAAATATTTGAATGGGTAATTGTGTGGTTAAAATGATCAACATGAGGTGAAGGACGCAAACTTATACAAGGCTCTAGTCATCTGATTAACCTCTTCTATGCCTAACCTATTGAGCATCAGTATATAAGCAATACTGATTCTAATAAGGGCACGGGTGTCAGTTTTGTAATTCAACAAATCAAATGTATCTCTTCATGACTGTACGATCCAAGGTAGTGGTGGTCAAGCTGTCTCCCACTCTGATAACCTACTTGTCAGACATGTCACATTGACATGCAAATAGATGAGTAAAAGATCAGAAGCTGCACCGATCACTTGTATATATTATTCGTTTTTTTATGAACTACTGCATGTGCGATGTGTATGAAATATACCCACATAATTGCGAATATAGAAAATGTTTGCAATGTTTTTTAAATCAATGATAATGAATCGAAAGCCTAACATTAAAACAAAGCTTGGTTCAGGAACATGCATGTCATCATTAATGCTTTTAAAACCAGCTGATAATATACAGATGAATTTGTTATCGTTATTGCTACAGTATCAAATACCGTCCACGCTACAAATATTCTCTTTGGCAAAGGAAAGAAGGTCCGATATGTCAATCACACAAGTTATATATCATAATTAAGTCTGCTGTCTGCCTGTACTCCACGCTTCTCCCTGTAAAGTGTGGTTTACAGGTTACCGTGACCTGATAGATACCGATTTAGTGACATATATTGAAATCTGGGAGAATTGCAATCATATCTAAAAATGGAAGCGAAAATAGACATGTGAACACATTTCCATTGTATGTGTACGTGCTAGGTTATATGGTCCATGTAGGATAGTAATCACAAAACGAAACTAGCTGTGGCAGAAAATACCCGGACAGGTAGATTATATATAGCAATGACGGAATAACGTGGATACAATCTGCGCAGTCAACCCGTAAAGCCAGCATCCTTTGTATGGGCTTATAAAATAAGTAATATTTGTGGATGGACACCAACCTGAACATAATCCGAAACCAACTAGGACATATGCCAATCAGTTGACAGTAAGTATCTTGACTGCGTTATTAGACAGGTTCATCTATGTATCTATAAGTGAGTGAGTGATTTGTGTTTCACACCTCTCTCACCAATATTCCAGCCTTTCACCACGGACACTGAAAATGGGCTTCAAACGTTGTACCCACGCCGGGAATCAAACCACGTATTTTTTACTGCCTATCTAATCTCTCGGCACTTCGGTACACTCATGTGTAAACTAATATGTTAACTATAATATGTCCCATGGGTAAACGAAAATACTACCAAATAGCATGGAAAGGTAACAAAAAAGACAGAAATGTTAAGAGGAAGGTGGTTTATTAAAATCAACATATTTGTAGTGGTAAAATGGGGATAATAAATTACTGACTGTTTCATATATATGATATATGTATTGGTTGCTATATTGGACAATATGTCACATGTCTCAGAAAGAAAGCCTCACTGTCTATGCGTACGTCAGTCAACTACTACATGAGCTATTATTATATATCCAACAATTAGTTTTTTGTTATATATACTGGTACAAATGTTTGCTTAAAGACGATAGGTGGTGATGTGGAAGAAGATATTCAGAACCACCCAAAAAAGCAACAGCAAAAAAATCAATTATGATAAATGCAATAATAAAAACGATAATTTAAAAAATATAATAACAGCATACAATAAGAAAAAAACAGAAACTTTTAAAAAGTTCCTGTATTATATTTTATCCTTAATTCTGTTAATAATTATATGAAAAACATTTTCTTGTCATGTTTTCTTCTGAAATGTATTTGTTGCATTCCGAATGTATGTTTAAGACGAGAAGTTGCAATGTAAAAATATTATCCACCAATCCACCCGAAAGGGAATAAATATAGATAATACACTAAACTAAACTAAATGATAATTAAAAGAATTGGCTGTTGTTCGCTAAAACGAAGAAAATATTAAAAAGTTCCTTCATAATACTTTATCTTCAGTTATTTTAGTAGTTATGGGTTATTTTTTTTCATTTTGTTTATGATATCTACAGTTGCCACTTAGAAATGATTCAGCGTCTAGGAAATGTTTAATTATATGAATTCACAAAATGTAAATATATGGACTATTTGAATGCATACTTGTATGATATTGAACCCTAATATAGTAGCAACATTAACCTGTGACCCGTGAAGATCCAGGGTAGAATAGGTCTTCAGCAACCCAAGCTTGCCGTAAAAGGCAACTATGCTTGTCGTAAAAGGCGACCAACGGGATCGATTGGTCTGTCTTTGTGACTTGGCTGATGTCATCTTACCTCGCTAATGTGAATCGATTGATCAGGTTTTGTGACTTGGCTGATGCCATCTTACCTCGCTAATGTGGATCGATGAATCAGGCTTTGTGACTTGGCTGATGTCATCTTACCTCGCTAATGTGGATCGATTGATCAGGCTTTGTGACTTGGCTGATGTCATCTTACCTCGCTAATGTGGATCGATTGATCAGGCTTTGTGACTTGGCTGATGCCATCTTACCTCGCTAATGTGAATCGATTGATCAGGCTTTGTGACTTGGCTGATGCCATCTTACCTCGCTAATGTGGATCGATGGATCAGGCTTTGTGACTTGGCTGATGCCATCTTTCCTCGCTGATGTGGATCGATGGATCAGGCTTTGTGACTTGGCTGATGCCATCTTACCTCGCTAATGTGGATCGATTGATCAGGCTTTGTGACCTGGTTGATGCCATCTTACCTCGCTAATGTGGATCGATGGATCAGGCTTTGTGACTTGGCTGATGCCCTCTTACCTCGCTAATGTGGATCGATGGATCAGGCTTTGTGACTTGGCTGATGCCCTCTTACCTCGCTAATGTGGATCGATGGATCAGGCTTTGTGACTTGGCTGATGCCATCTTACCTCGCTAATGTGGATCGATTGATCAGGCTTTGTGACTTGGTTGATGCCATCTTACCTCGCTAATGTGGATCGATGGATCAGGCTTTGTGACTTGGCTGATGCCATCTTACCTCGCTAATGTGGATCGATGGATCAGGCTTTGTGACTTGGCTGATGCCATCTTACCTCGCCAATGTGGATCGATGGATCAGGCTTTGTGACTTGGCTGATGCCATCTTACCTCGCTAATGTGGATCGATGGATCAGGCTTTGTGACTTGGCTGATGCCATCTTACCTCGCTAATGTGGATCGATGGATCAGGCTTTGTGACTTGGCTGATGCCCTCTTACCTCGCTTATGTGGATCGATTGGCGTGGATCGTTGGTCATGCTTTGAATCACTGGTTTGCTTGGTCGAAACTCGATTATTTGTATCCCGCCGGTATTTAGCTGGAATATTGCTGACAGAGGACAACATGCCAATACTCAGTCAGTCATGTCACTCACCCATGTGACTATTGCTGAGACGGCCGTATGCACCATCATTATAAGATTGCAATCGTCTATAATGTGATTGTTGTGCCGTGGTAAACATTAGCACCCTAACACACACAGTTTCCGTTGCCATACTTAATGATTGATATAAACACTATAAACATACCTTGGCTGTGGTATTTTTAATGTCAGATTTTGTTCATAGTTACAATTAATAGATGTTGAGGTATTCTCACATAAAAAGTTCAAACATATCATCTGATATTTATGTTAGCAGTGTTTTGATATTTAAGATAATTAAACTGTAGAATAATGATACTTTTTTTTGACAATAAATATTTACATCATTTATTGCATTGTGTGTCTTAAATCGTAGTGTTCTTTCAACAAACCGTTCAGAAATGAAAGCTTGTACTTTAAAATGGCGACAGATGTGTTTCACATGTCTCTCAGGACTACGTAAAATGTGTATTCATCAAGGAAGACGGGTCCACAAGCAGCGAAATACTTCATTTTGCGATTAAGACGGACTGGGATGAAAATCCCCGGATTAATTTATGATAGACAGTGCATGTCGTCGTGGCAATATTGGAGCTGGAAGAATTAACACAACACCAAAAAGACAATACACAGATGATCAAAGCAGAAGAATCTATTCACGGTATCGTATCGTGTTCCCCGCCGTGCAATTGCGGTAATATTGCCCAAAGCGGCGTAAAAATATATTCACTCACTCATGAGAGAGTGTGTAATGCGACGCGGACTAGCAATATACAGCTTTCAAAGTCACTATTTACGTGGATATGAAACGCATGATACGAAGATGATATATGATTGAGTTCTACTATCACCAGCAAGAATCCATGAACTCCTAAAACATTTGTTTCAAATGTCTTGTGTTCACGATTTGACTATATATTTCAATTGGATCTTATTCGCATAACCACTGAGGAAGAACGCGGCAGATTTGCAGATTATATCATGCGCTTTAGCCTGAAGCATATGTGTCATGTCATGTATGAGGTTGTGAGGTGACGTTGGGTATACCGTCGCGTTTTAGATTACTGCACTTTTGAAACGACGTGCCTGCACGTGTGTGTGGCTGCTTGTACTAGGTAGGATTAATGCCGACGCGAGCCCATTGAGATCCCATGCGGCAATACTACATGGATTCTACGCTCAGACACAGCATACTGACACCGAGCCGACCAGTCCTTTTTTATTCCCTGAATGCCGAGCATCAGGCAGGGTAACAACAAGTACCATCTTTTAACGTCTTTAGGTATCTTTCGGCCAGTGATCTAACAGCCGACCCCCGCTCTCTGGACGGACGCCCTATCCACCGGATCACTGAAGCGGTCTGTAATGTATGGTATTACATATATACATTAACCATGTCCATGCAGTCATGTTACAAATTAGGGGATATTCGTTTTCTGAATTGATATTCCTCTTGCACCACATGAAGTGATTGAAGTCATGGGGTTTGAACCCACGATCAGGAAACCATGAAAACTAGGAAAGGCATAGCGAAATAGATAAGGAGTAACAGTTACTACTGGAAAACTAGAGAAATAAAAGAAGAGTGTTGAAGAGAGAACACCATTAAATGTAAAAAAGGTTTATTTTTTTATGAAGACTCCGACACACCTCTTCTTCTAGCGCTTTTGTTAACGTTCCCCTGAAACAGACCACGGAGTGTCATAAACAAATGATACATGACACATGCAGATGTTTCAGGGTATAAATTATATATTCATTAACCATGTATGTTCAGTATAGCAGGTTTCATACTTTATAATGTGATCATTTTCTGGTTATTATTCAAGTGATTTAGTATGGCACCCTACATACAATTTCAAGTGCCTAACATACCTAAATATGGTCATCAACAATCTATATAAGGATATTAAGTCGTTTCAATCGTTATATCGTATGAGGTTTGAGGGATATTTTGATAATAGCATGTGAACGTACAAGAGGGCCTCTCCAAAGATCCACGCCTCTCTTGATGATCGGACACTTTGGTTGCAGTTCCTCATGCCGGAGATAAGGATCATCAGTAGAGTCCCAGTCCAAAGCCTGGCATCCGCAGTGATAGCAAGTCAGACCGGTCCCCTTACCTGGTGGGAAGGACACATGGGAAAACTACAGATAAAAGCAAACAGATGAGTCCGACCTCAGTACCTGGAGTGGAAGGAAGCATGAGAACACTGCGGACAGAAGCAAGCAGATGAGACCAGCCTCTGCACGTGGAGTGGGAGAAAGCATGAGAACACTGCGGACAGAAGCAAGGAGATGAGACCGGCCTTCGTACCTGGAGTGGAAGGAAGCATGAGAACACTGCGGACAGAAGTAAGCAGATGACACCCTCCTCCGTACCTGGAGTGGAAGGAAGCATGAGAACAATACAGACAGAAGCAAGTAGGTGAGACCAGCCTGTGCACGTGGAGTGGGAGGAAGCATGAGAACACTGCGGACAAGAGCAAGCAGATGAGACCGGCCTCCGTACCTGGAGTGGAAGGAAGCATGAGAACATTACAGACAGAAGCAAGCAGATGAGACCCGCCTCTGCACGTGGAGTGGAAGGAAGCATGAGAACACTGAGGACAAGAGCAAGCAGATGAGACCGGCCTTCGTACCTGGAGTGGAAGGAAGCATGAGAACACTGCGGACAGAAGTAAGCAGATGACACCCTCCTCCGTACCTGGAGTGGAAGGGAGCATGAGAACACTGCGGACAGAAGTAAGCAGATGAGACCCGCCTCTGCACGTGGAGCGGGAGGAAGCATGAGAACACTGCGGACAAGAGCAAGCAGATGAGACTGGCCTCCGTATCTCGAGTGGAAGGAAGCATGAGAACAATGCAGACAGAAGTAAGCAGATGACACCCTCCTCCGTACCTGGAGTGGAAGGAAGCATGAGAACAATACAGACAGAAGCAAGCAGATGAGACCGGCCTTCGTACCTGGAGTGGAAGGGAGCATGAGAACACTGCGGACAGAAGTAAGCAGATGAGACCGGCCTCCGTACCTGGAGTGGAAGGAAGCATGAGAACAATACAGACAGAAGCAAGCAGATGAGACCGGCCTCCGTACCTGGAGTGGAAGGAAGCATGAGAACAATGCAGACAGAAGCCAACAGATGAGACCGGCCTCCGTACCTGGAGTGGAAGGAAGCATGAGAACACTGCGGACAGAAGTAAGCAGATGGCACCCTCCTCCGTACCTGGAGTGGAAGGAAGCATGAGAACAATACAGACAGAAGCAGGCAGTTGAGACCGGCCTCCGTACCTGGAGTGGAAGGAAGCATGAGAACAATACAGACAGAAGCAAGTAGGTGAGACCAGCCTCTGCACGTGGAGTGGGAGGAAGCATGAGAACACTGCGGATAAGAGCAAGCAGATGAGACCGGCCTCCGTATCTCGAGTGGAAGGAAGCATGAGAACAATACAGACAGAAGCAAGTAGGTGAGACCAGCCTGTGCACGTGGAGTGGGAGGAAGCATGAGAACACTGCGGACAAGAGCAAGCAGATGAGACCGGCCTCCGTACCTGGAGTGGAAGGAAGCATGAGAACATTACAGACAGAAGCAAGCAGATGAGACCCGCCTCTGCACGTGGAGTGGAAGGAAGCATGAGAACACTGAGGACAAGAGCAAGCAGATGAGACCGGCCTTCGTACCTGGAGTGGAAGGAAGCATGAGAACACTGCGGACAGAAGTAAGCAGATGACACCCTCCTCCGTACCTGGAGTGGAAGGGAGCATGAGAACACTGCGGACAGAAGTAAGCAGATGAGACCCGCCTCTGCACGTGGAGCGGGAGGAAGCATGAGAACACTGCGGACAAGAGCAAGCAGATGAGACTGGCCTCCGTATCTCGAGTGGAAGGAAGCATGAGAACAATGCAGACAGAAGTAAGCAGATGACACCCTCCTCCGTACCTGGAGTGGAAGGAAGCATGAGAACAATACAGACAGAAGCAAGCAGATGAGACCGGCCTTCGTACCTGGAGTGGAAGGGAGCATGAGAACACTGCGGACAGAAGTAAGCAGATGAGACCGGCCTCCGTACCTGGAGTGGAAGGAAGCATGAGAACAATACAGACAGAAGCAAGCAGATGAGACCGGCCTCCGTACCTAGAGTGGAAGGAAGCATGAGAACAATGCAGACAGAAGCCAACAGATGAGACCGGCCTCCGTACCTGGAGTGGAAGGAAGCATGAGAACACTGCGGACAGAAGTAAGCAGATGACACCCTCCTCCGTACCTGGAGTGGAAGGAAGCATGAGAACAATACAGACAGAAGCAGGCAGTTGAGACCGGCCTCCGTACCTGGAGTGGAAGGAAGCATGAGAACAATACAGACAGAAGCAAGTAGGTGAGACCAGCCTCTGCACGTGGAGTGGGAGGAAGCATGAGAACACTGCGGACAAGAGCAAGCAGATGAGACCGGCCTCCGTATCTCGAGTGGAAGGAAGCATGAGAACAATGCAGACAGAAGCCAACAGATGAGACCGGCCTTCGTACCTGGAGTGGGAGGAAACATGAGAAGAATGCAGACAGCGCGCAGCGCAGACCTGGTATGGATGAACACTTAATGGATAGTTAATTTGGAAACATATATGCGATCACATGCACTGTCAATAGGCAACTCTCCTTTATACTTTATATATCAGAAAAAATAGTATCAGTGTGTGTGAATTAGGCTTTTCACCCAGGCTTATAGTCTAACACATCAGCTACTGATGTTACCTGTATGGTAGAACCCTGCCGCGGCTATAGTCTCTAGCCTACTAGATGTCATGTCCGAGATTTCTTCACCAGCCTCCAGCAAGGTTTCGATTCGCTCTCTCAGGGTCATCCAAACACGAGGGTACCTGGAGGGACGCTGGGATATCAGTGCCACCATCTCCTGTAGGTTCATCTGGTGACTCGGTCTCATCCCCGCCAAGACTTGGGAGATGATCTCACGCCAATCACGAGTGAAGGCGCGAGGAATTGAGCGTAAGTCACTGTCCAGAAGGTAGGGGTATTTTCCGCGGAAATTAGGACGCATTTGGCTGAAATCACACATAAGAAAAACACATTAATCAAAATATTAATCAGAAATAGCAATGGTCCAAGGCGCTTCCTCGTGTCAAGTCAAGTATCAAAGTATCTTCTCAAACTATGTGTCAGGAGAGAGAGAAAACATATCATTTTAGCATGTAACATATTATTTAGTATTTACTTATTCTGATTTGGGCAGAGATTTCTTGTTAGTATGGACAAGGGTTAGTCGCTTCTACATGTTTAAATGACATGAGGCATGACCCCATGCGTTTAATCCATTGTAAAGGCAAATATCTAGGATATATCGCACAGCCACGTAGCGCTATTTTCATTTACAGAAGCAATTACAAATTCCAGTTTGACCGCTGCGCATGTCATTTCAAGCATGTGTACAGATGAGGCGTTTTTTGAAAGTTCTCTTTTTTAATGCTATTTTAGTTATAGTATACAACTTGGTATATTGATTGATAAATATATTGTTTGATATTTTGTCTGCAAAACTATACCAGGCACTGTTTGAAAATGAGTAAGTTTTGATATCGCTTACCTCAATGCTTCTGCGGGTAAATACCGTTTGAAGAACGAGCATGGTATGGATTTCTTTATCCGGCCGGTGAGCTGTGTATAATAATAGAATTGACGTGTCGTTGTCACACTATCACATGCAGGTATTGTAAGCGTGATGCATGACACACTTATATCTTCTCACCCAACTATTGATGTGGTCGACCTATTTCTAGGTGTTATATTTCAAGAATTTCTAAGACGTTTAACCTTTGAATAGCATTGTTTAATCATAACAAGACATGTAATTTACCTTTTCCCTGAGCGTGTCTATATTTGTAACTAACATTTGTTAAATCTTCTGGGCAGTTGTGATATTTTTGTTTAAATGAGTCGAATTCAAAGGATATTCTATATATAGGTAATGTAAGAGTGCATGTATGAGTCGCACGACTCTCCCACGACATAACTGACGCTATTGCCATTAGTGACGGCAGTGTAAAGAAGGCGACTAAGGGTAGTGACAGGCGTAGGAAGAGTACGACTAGGAGTAATGACGACCGTGGGCCTGGGAGGAGTGACGGCCATAGCAAGAAGGCGACTAAGGGTAGTGACAGGCGTAGGAAGAGTACGACTAGGAGTAATGGCGACCGTGGGCCTGGGAGGAGTGACGGCAGTATAAAGAAGGCGACTGGGGGTAGTGACAGGCGTAGGAAGAGTACGACTAGAAGTAATGGCGACCGTGGGCCTGGGAGGAGTGACGGCAGTATAAAGAAGGCGACTGGGGGTAGTGACAGGCGTAGGAAGAGTACGACTAGAAGTAATGGCGACCGTGGGCCTGGGAGGAGTGACGGCTATATGAAGAAGGCGACTGAGAGTAGTGACGCGTAGGAAGAGTAAGACTAGGAGTAATGACGACCGTGTGCCTGGGAGGAGTGACGGCCATAAGGAGAAGGCGACTGAGAGTAGTGACAGGCGTAGGAAGAGTACGACTAGGAGTAATGACGACCGTGGGTCTGGTTGGAGTGACGGCCATAGGAAGAAGGCGACTGAGGCTAGTGACGGGCGTAGGAAGAGTACGACTAGGAGTAATGACGACCGTGGGCCTCGGAGGAGTGACGGCAGTGTAAAGAAGGCGACTGAGGGTAGTGACACCCGTAGGAAGAGTACGACTAGGAGTAACGACGACCGTGGGCCTGGGAGGAGTGACGGCTATATGAAGAAGACGACTTAGTGACTGATAAAAGTTTTGAATGTTACACATTGTACCCCTGTGGGTAATCGAACCCGCGTATTTGGCGTGACGAGCGAACACTTTAACCACTAGGCTACCCCATCCCCCCTTTAAATGTAGGATTAACTCTGGTTGTTACACTGGTTTGTTTTATGGGTATGGTATGCTCCCATAATGTTGAGGTTTTCATCATTAAAACGTCAATATCTTCGGGGTATTCATTTTTTTCTATTTTAAACTCATACACCCATGAAACGTCGTACACATATAATAATGAAAACATGTGTTAAGGAAACGTTGCAGAAAAACCTCTTCACGAAAATCAAGGTCATTATAGATACGTCACCTGAATTCATAAAGGAAATGAATTTACAACAGTTGAAAATAGAAGGTAGGGGTAATGAAAAGTGCAAATCATCTGAGTGAGAAAATATTGATTTCATGCCTTTTCTATTAAACTTTAATCAGCAACTATACAACGTGGCTACTCTTCCATTACTCTAAGAGATGATTTACATAATACTTAGATAAATGATGAGCTGCGGGACACACATTCCAGTATCACTTTGTAAATATATGTATACATCCGTTAAAATCTGTTATCTCATTGTGCCTGCTCGGCGGGTTGTATAAATATATCGCCACGACATGTACAGTTATAGTGTTGGGGTTAAATACACACGTCAGACACAAACAAACTGGGGAAGTTTTGTTGCCTGCTGTGTATAACAACATCCTGCATACTATAAGCTAAGCAAATACATGCTTAACCCCAGCCTACAGGTAAGGACTGTGCTCTTTTATTTGTATATGATACAGACCCTTGAAGATGTTGGGTAGAATAGGTCTTAAACAACCCATACTTGTCATAAAAGGCGACTGTGCTTGTCGTAAGAGGCGACTAACGGGATGGGGTGGTCAGGCTCGCTGACTTGGTCGATGCATGTCATCGTATCCCAATGCGTGGTTCTATGCTCATGATATCAGTCACTGGATTGTCTGGTCCTCGATTATTTACAGACCACCGATATATAGCTGGACTATTGTTGAGTGGTGTGTTAAACAACAAACAAACAAACAAATACATATAATACTGCATTGTACACATGTTATTTAAAGTTGAGACGCGGTTATGACGTCACTCTATTGTTGCAACTGAAGATTATCTGTAACGAAGTTACAGTGTACTAACCTACAACATGCAATAATTTTAAGCATGTGAATTACGAGTGTTCTTGCTACAACGACCAATTGACACAAAATACACATGCAGTACGAATATACGGGCGAGTTCAAATGAAGCACGGGTATCCAAACCTAATGTTTAAAGATTCTCGTTTAATTTTTCATTATTCATTGATATATATTAATTTTCATGCTGTATGTTGAATTTGATTACGCAGTATTTTGTTATTTGATGCCGTATTTTAAGTCAAATAACATACGCGTAACTGAACATTCTTTACAAATAACGATCGCTGGTTCGTACATGTTTTGAAACGGATGTCCAGTTATTTGTGGGTAATCCTTATCCATACCGAAACGACACACAAGGGTTGACAAATATAAATACCTTTCCGAGAAGCTCGAAATAGTCTGAAGACTTCGTCTGATCTATTATATCTGATCTGATGTGATATGCCTAATGGTCTCAGCAGTTGGAGAATTAAGAGTGAGCGAGTGAGTGAGTTGGGTTGGAAAGCCCGAAGTGATGCAGGTCTCAGACGTTTAACCACTTCGGTGAAACCCACGAACACGTGTATGGTGCTGACAAACCTAGAAACATCATCGGGGCACACCGGGATTCGAACCCACAATCATAGGTTTCTGGCGTACCAAAGGGATGCAACTCTGCACAGCGAATCCCGGCGCCTTAGACGACTGGGCCACCCGTGCCCCCGGGAGAACTAAGAGACGTACATGATTTGTTACTGTTGTGAGCGGGATTGCTCCACGGCATTTTGTTTGTTGTCAGGGCTAGGTCAAGACGCTGTAGTCATGCCCTGTCTGAAACTGAGACCCTTTATGTATTTAATTAAGGAAATCATTTACTGTGAGCATAAGTTACAATGTGCAATTTCAGCTGAGAAACGAAGGGTTGATTCAAAGTTGCAGTGTCTTTCCAATGTTCCTGCAGTAAAATGATACGGTCTGATGCTGTTCAGAAAGGGATGCACGAGTGAACATGACTGTGACCTGTTTCACTTGTGATACGAGATAGACGAAACAATGTAAATACTTGTGAAATGAAATACAAACACGTTACACATAATGAAAGCCACCGATTTATAATATTTATATATAACATTACACCTAGTCCCTCTTTAAACAGATTAGGATCATATATTCTTCTTTAGTCGTTCAGCAAATCTGAAACCAGTAATTCCAGCAAGAGTATTGTCTTGTGTCCACAGAAAATCGTAAGGTTTCGTGATTCAACAATGAACAGATCCACTGGCAGACATCAGAGTTATGAATGCGAAGATGTTGGAGGGATTCTCAGCGATTTTATGAACGCAAAACTGCAGGAACCGTACGCCCACTGCAACGTGGAATGCATCGGATTGACGCTGAGACAGAAGATGCTGCTGTTATACCAACCACCAACATCCAAACCGCAACATCGTCGTCTGTGGAATACAGAGGACAGACTCGACACACTGATGGCAGCTACAGACAATATTGCTGACATTCCTGCTGCTGGACTCGCTACCATTGCTCAAGCAGGCTTCTTCCACTCAGGTAGAGTTTAAAACCTGTGCATACAACATTGTTGAGATATATTAGTACATACTTTTGTTATGTAAATGTCATCCTCTATGAAGACAGCCGCCGTGATATTGCTGGAATATTGCTAAAAGCGGCATAAAACCATACTCACTTTTAAGATAACATTATATCCCAAATAATTCTATCATAATAGATACCATGGACTTATGCTTCACCACAGCTTCGGTTAGAGTCCGATTCAAATGTCACATGCTTAATAACCGTCCAATCCAATTACACTCATGTTATGTCGGATCTTAATGATCTGAGAAATGAAGATGTTACGTCAACTCATATACAACTGGCACATGTTCCGATTTAAGGATGCGCAAATAGAATATTGGGAGATATTCCTATTCAGGTTTTCTATCCGCAGGGACTGATAACACCTTGACGTGTTTCTCCTGTGGCTGCCACGCCCACGGTTGGAGTGTTGACGATGATCCCTGGAGGCGACATGCGGAGCTGCAGATGACGTGCCCGGTGTTGTGCAGGAACGTCTACACACAAATCAAGGAAGGGGTAAATGACTATGAGTGAGTGAGTGAGTATGCTTTTACGCCGCCTTTAGCAATATTCCAGCAATATCACGGCGAGGGACACCTGAAATGACTATGAAATATGCCGTCTCCATATCGTACCGAATCTACATTAGACCATTATGAACACGTTTCAAACCTCTAAGCTGAACACCGTCGTTGGTTTACCTCCTATGTATATATTATGCTTTAGCTGATGACCGTGTATCCCTTATTGAAAGATTCGTACTGAACAACTACAGCATGTTGGATAGAAAAAGCCGTCGAACAATTTCTAAAATGTGTTTTGTATAAATAAGTGACACAGACCCGATTTAGCGTTTCTCACCATCATACTGACAAATGCAGTATTAACATTAGACTAGCATTCAGTCTTAAAATCGTATATTACACAATATCCTTCTTGACTCTAAAAATATAAAAATAAAAATTTCCCTATGCTGATTTCATAGAGAGCTAGCTATATCTGGCTAGACTTGCTTTTGTATGCGTTTCTAGATTATTATTTTTTCATAAAATAAATATATTCAACAATCATGGTGCAGGGCTATATTTACATCAACACAAACCTTCTGTTCATTGTGTGTTTGGCGAAGTTAGTATCTGCGCTCAAAACCTTAAGTTAGAAAGGGTTTTTTTAATCAGTGTGGTTAAACATTAAATGGCATGTAAGAAGAGGGGATACTTCTGCAAACGTTTATCAGCCTGTGCCAATATTCCTCATCAGGTGACCTCATGTTGCAGAGCATCGCCTACAGGCCCAGGACACGCCATTTCTCGGATAGTGGCGCAAGTCCACCACCTGCCAGCTATACCAGAACTCTTCACTAGTCAACATCTGGAATATCATAACCAACAATTGCATATAACCTTCTTTATTCTGGTTATGTTTCTTCAAAACTTGATCAAGATCACATTTCTCACAAAATTATATACACAACAATCCTATTCAGTACAAAACACCTGTACTTTCTTATGTCATCAATGCTGATGAAAATGTTTGAATTATTGTGATCGTTTATATATTGATTTCTGTCAAAATACTAACTCCTATTTCTCAGGCGTTCATTTATGAGGATTGTTCATGTCAATGTACATGTTGTATGTGTAGGGGATATCAGTGATATGTGTGGAGACAGAGGTCTGCAAAGAGTCATCTGAATACTGAATGAAATCTAATACAAGTGAGCAAACTAATGTATATGTACATGACCTGTATTCAAACTCGAATGCATATTGCCACTGGTTCCACACATATTTGTGTGATGACTTAATTTATGAACACGATACACCCCCACATATTTCGTGTACAATGCTTTAGGGAATGACGACCAACATAGGTAGTCCAGAAGCTGGTATCTAACATGACCATTTTAAGGTGAATACACATTTCAGTAGTCTTGAGAGAGAGAAATTTTCATGCTGTCGCGTCAAACCACATTCATTCATTTATTGCAATTCTACAAAAATACTTTTGAGATACAGAATGGATGCAAGAACATATGAATATTTGGATTTTTAATGCACAAACAGTATATATAGTGAAATGCATCTATTCCTAAAAAATAGACTGAACGGTAGGGACATGTTTTTTACCAGGTTTTGATGAGATGTTACCCGGTTGGTCCGATCCTTGAGATGAACGAAGATCATTCTAGGTGACATTTTAATGCCTGAATGGAAAACACATTTCTATCATTATTTGTGATGCAAAACAACGAAACCCGACATTTTAAGAATAACTCACTGACTGTGACAGTTTATATAATTTCATATATATTTTTTATTCATTAATAAAACTGAACAAATTTTAAACTTTGAAGTGAAATTGGTTCCTTGTTAATAAAATATTGTACTTATAGCAAAATATGTTGACAAATACGAAACTCACTTTACAGAAATTGAAGAAATAAAACAAATTTGTAATTGAATAAGTGGATTTACGGGTTACAATTGACAAATGAATCACTATGAATCTAATTAAATTTCTAAAACAATTTCGGAATAAATGATATATTGCAGCTTGTGTCCTCGTTTCCTTCTATGACAATTGTTACCGAAACATCCGTGACGTCAGATTCTATATTTAGTACATACGTGTTCACGGAAAATAGATAGATTCCATGTTGGTGAGAGACGTGACGTGGATCCATGTACACCTGCGTATAACATAGTGGTAGTGTGTGGGAGCATCACATCCACCAAACACTCACGTCGTCAAGATGCTGTCCGCACTGTTGCTGGTTGTTCTCGGGCTGTACACAGGTGAGGATCTTGTATAACAGTTACATACATACTGTTGCATAACGTCTTGTCACATTCACTGTCTCCGTGGTCTTGTGGTAGTGCGTCCGCCCGTAGAGCGGAAGGTCCGGGGTTCGATCCCCGGCCGCGTATAGAGTGTGAGTGAGTTGGGTTTAACGCCGCTTTAAACAGTATTCCAGTTATATCACGGCGTGTCAGCTTAATGTGGGAGGAAAGCCCGAGGTGATGCAGGTCTCAGACGGTTACTTCTTCGGTGAAACCCACGAGCACGGGTATGGTGCTGACATATAGTTGGGGCGAACCGGAATTCGAACCCACAATCATAGGTTTCTGCCGTGCCCAAGGGACGCAACTCTGCACAGCAAATCGCGGCGCCCTAGACGACTGGGTCACCCGTGCCCCCGACTGAATATAGACACTGGCCGTAACACAGATACTCGAAGGAAAAGTATGTAAAATAATGTATCTGTATGGGTTAACCTAGTGATTAGATTAACAGTGATTTTGATTATATAGACTATATTCATTCCCACGGGAGTCAACCGTCTATATGTGTGATTACACATTATATACCGGGTGATTGTTTCTGCTTCAATGCCAATTTGGAGTTACAAAGGTATTCAACATTCTCTTTGAAACAACTATAAAGGGGAATGTAATAACCAGACACATTAGCTTATTTACATGTTACCTCCATGAAATATCCGAAACCCGAGTTGAGAGTCGAACCACCCTATCCAAAGGACCTGAGGTTGGTCCCGTCAGCAAGGTACATGTGTGTAACACCATCTTGAGGACAAATGTGGATGGTACTGCTACGTAAAATAATATTTTTTTCGAAATCTACTTGATCGATTGATTGGATATTCTGTGTATATTTATGCATTATACATACAGTCAAACGCACACGCACACGCACACGCACACGCACACGCACACGCACATGCACATGCACAACCACGCACACACACAAACTCTTGCACATTGCAAAAGGCTATAAGCTAGATGTAGTATTTCCTGACTGAAAACGGACAAACACATTCGATTATACAATGTAAGATATAACAAACTGAGGTTCTCATTGAATTCAAGCACTTCTAACGTCATGCATTGCAACATGAGGTGTAATTCTTAGATCACGCTAAGGTGAGTGAATATGGTTTTACACCGCTTTTAGCAATAGTCAAGTAATATCACAGGGGGGGACACCATAAAATCACTGAGGATCGGTGAGGTGGCCTAGTGGTTAATGAGCTCGCTCGTCGCGCCGAAACCTCGGTTTCGGCTCCCCACATAGGTACAATGTGTGAAGACCATTTCTGGTGTCCCCCGCCGTGATATTGTTGGAATATTGCTAAAAACCACATTCACTCACTCACTCACTCACTCACTCGATCGCATGAGAATGAGTGAATAACATCATTTCAGGCTTATTAAGACGGCGAACATTAGAAATGGGCATCACCTATTGTTCGGCTTGAGTCACCGATTTGACCACTAGGCTACCCCCTTCTACCTTGATTACGAAAGAAAATTGTAAGACAGGTGACGGTTGTTTTAAAATTTGACTTCGAAATTAAGGTTATATTTGGGTTGGGCAGTAGAAGGCTTATTCTTTCAAATTTTACATTGACAATGCACACATTTGTGCCAAAAGACATTCACCTGAGCAAATCGCGCATATTCACATTTAAACAAGGACATGTTTCTAAGTGCGTAACGTTTCGTGGACGTGGTTACCGTGTGGTTCAAGCTTTTGCCAAGACTCCACTCATGGGTACAATGTGTAAAGCCCACATCTGATATTTTCTGTTGGCGATATTACTGTATGTACAACACTGATCCATAGATATGGAGATTACCAAATCACTCCCCACCCCCTCCATCCACCCTTCCAACACCCCAACACCCACCATCCTACATCAAATGGGGGCGTGGGGCTGGTGAGGCAGTTGTCAAAGGCTAAAATATTTACCGTGGAGAAATGTTCGAATCCCGGTTCGCTCGGATTTCTTTTCCAGCTTTGTCATCACAACTAATTAAGCCCGACATCACTTAGGGCTTTCCTTCCATATTGGGAGCCTTAACCATTTACTTTTATGTGAAAATAGAAGTAAAGAAAGTAAATCATATGTAAGTAATGTGTTGGCAGGCGTATCATCGGTTTACTTGTAGTATTGCCTTACTGTCGCAGGTGTAGGAGAGGATGGGTCCACACAAAAAGCAGCCGGCCACAAACCCAAAGGGGGATCACAGAGATCACACTCCCGGAAGTGGGGAAAGTGTAGGCGGTGCAAGGTGCGCAATGTCAACACAGTGTTCCTGCCGTGCGGTCACGTGGTGTGTTGTGCTGAGTGCAGCGTCGTCTCCAGGACGTGTGACGTATGCCATGCACGAATCAGAGGCAGTCTCAGAACCAGCCCATTACATGGGGATTAATATGTCATTTAAAATATGATATGTATGGTGCTACAATTGAACAGTCTAGTATTTACTCTGGTTTCCTTTCGAAATAATATACATTCATACAAATCCAAAATGTATGCATTGAATGCAGATGTGAGATGTATTTAAACATTTTTAATGTTTAGTGTATTCATTATATTAAGTTGATATATTGATTGAGAAAATATATGTTATGGTTACTTAACTGTAGATAATAAAATACTGTACAGATTAACTAATTCCTGTGTTTTGTTTTGTGTTGAAAGTTAATATACCGCACCATGCATAGATTCAATGCAGGTAACATAGATGCATGTATTATGGAAATGTTCCGTTTTATTTGTATTGGTCTGCATTGAATAATTACAAGAGAGGATTTTAACAAGATAAATAACACAACAGTAGTGGAATGTCGCATTTATGTGTACAAACGAAAAACGCTATTTTTAATACCTAATTGCAAATGCCAAAAGAAACTTTACCATAGTTTTAAATCACTCTTTAAAAAACACAAAAGATAGATGCATGAAGTAAAATTGGTTGAAAGTTCAAAATCTCAACATAAACAATTAAGAGTGAGTGAGTGAGAATGGTTTTACGCCGCTTTTAGCAATATTCCAGCAACATGATGGCGGGGGACACCAGAAATGGGCTTCCAACATTGTACCCATGTCGGGAATCGAACCCGGGTCTTTGGCGTGACGAGCGAACGCACTAACCACTAGGCTACCCGACCGCCCCCAACAATTAAGATGACAGCTTTAACAGCATTTGATATTGGCATGACAGTTGCCCGAATTGAGGTGGGGTAACAAACAAAACATATTTTCAACGTAGTGGACAAAGGGCACGCACGTCTAAAAATCACTCACGTTCAATGACTCGTCACATTCATAATGTGTCTGACCACCTCCTGCTACAAGACACGCAAAACCTCTCCGGTCCAAAGAAAAAGTCAGTCGTCTGATGACGTCACTTGGGACAACTCGACATTCTTCTTGGAGGGTGATCTATGACATCCCAGGGGTGTTCTGTGGTGGACGTGTCTGGGGAACGTGCAGGCCAATGCAATATGTTGCGTTGTTCCACGTGGCAGCTGTTGTAGTAATGGTAGGGCAATCGGACAAAGCATCTCATCCACGAAAAGCTGAGTTAAATGTTCGTTAACGATGACAAGCGGTGTTCTCTCCTTCTCACAAATTCGTCCCCACATCATAACACATCATCCACCATACGGTACGACCTCTTGAACGCAACACGCCGCCGTTCCTTCTCCCGTTCGGCGGTAAACACACTTTCTGTCACGTCGCTGCCAACGGCGAACAGTCCGGGTCCATCTCAATGTCTGAAGACGATGTTGCGCTGTCAATAACTGTCCTCTGTTAGGTTTGTAAGCCCTAATGTCTTGAGCTCGGAGTCGCCTGGCCACTGTCAGTCGACTAACCATATGCCCTAAGGCATTCGTCGCTGATGACGTCACTTTCAGGGATCGATCCCGGAGATGCAATGTACGCAAGTACCGGTCTTCATTAGGCGTAGTTACCCTGGGTCTCCCTGTTCGCGGTCTGTCTGATGTATGCCCGGTCTGTCTGTAACGTTGCAACAGGTTAGTTACAGCTACATGGAAGCAACCAACAGTCAGACGTACATGTGTGTTCACTATCTTCACCCGTCCACTCAGTCAGAAGTACATGTGTGTTCACTATCTTCACTCGTCCACTCAGTCAGAAGTACATATGTGTTTATTATCTTCACCCGTCCACTCAGTCATAAGAACATATGTGTTCATTATCTTCACCCGTCCACTCAGTCATAAGAACATATGTGTTTATTATCTTCTCCCGTCCACTCAGTCATAAGAACACGATTTTCCTCCGGTCAATCAGTCGGAAATACTCGTGTGTTCATTATCTGAGAAAATATAATTCGGTTTTCATTATATACCCTATACCATTTATACAAAAAACAACCAGTGTTCCATAATGCCAATTACACATCTGCTACTACAAACGGACATTTTGTTAAACACACTTTTATAGAAATATTATGTAACACTTGCATGATTGAGGGTAAGCGTCTTCCACATGTTGTAATTCTTTATTTGCGTTCGTCACCACTCGACCCTTTCCGTAACCTGCAAGAAGACTCGTTCGTTCCCCTATTGATGAATGTTATGTGCGAAAATACGACAAACCAATCAGAATGCGCGTATGATTTCAAGTTCTTCGTCAAAGAATCCCTCAGAAATAATTTCTGATTTTACATATATCTTGCATCTAAAAATATACCAAAGACACAGTTAAATGTGTTCAATCATACTGTATAATTCCGCACGTCCCGATGTGCTTTAAATTGCATCTGAAATATACATAATATATGGGGAAAATGTGTGAACCATTACGTAACGAGTTGACAATTATATTAGGTATGCCCGTTTGCGCCAAGACGGAATTCGGTTGCAAAATAGCCATGAGAAGGGCACGAGTCGCTATTCGGCTTGTCCCGGAATAACACGAGTTGGTCACGAATGTCCTTATTTAGTATCCATTGCGGTCTTAGGTTAAGACAAGAATTCGGAGTGAGAACGTGTGCAATCAGGAATGGTTGAAAAACGTTGGGATTGGATCCTTTAAACCGTCTGTTATGAATAATTGTCTTGATGAGTACTTATGTATAATCACATTTGTTTTTTAAGTGTCATTTGTCTCTGGACAATGAACACAACATTACTATGTAATACATGAATCAATATGTATCAGAACAACTCTGACGAAGTTGTCTATGAAGAGAAAGAGTTAATGATCATCACTGATCATTTATGGGCGGAAACATCTGAACGCATAATGTATTATTTCATCACAACTTTCATAATATTTCTTTAGATAGATACAGAAAACAAGTTGCGGAATGTAAGGTTTTCAGAATGATCGAAGAACCGTTGAACTATTGATTATGGTCAATGATCTATAACTTTCTAATGACCTTTTTACAAACGAATGGACTCATTCTCACACACGATGCATGAGTATCGGATGTATGTGTAACTATTAGTATCAGAGGGATTAATCACTCATTAGCAAGGGAAAACCACAGTGCGTAAATATACTGATGACGTTGGGCTATAAATACCGACAAGTGACTGTTGACTAACCCACTGTGAGGTTAGTCCCTCATAACAGTCACACATCTCGGGCGGCGTGCAACGTGTGGAGGTACAGTTAACGACGAGTTAACTCCCTTAGGTAAGCACAAGCTGCAGTACAACCTCAGTGTTATGTGAATGTACTTCCAATAGTAGACTGATGCCTATGAAACCATGGCCATCACTCACTTTCATAGAACATTTCAAAATCTAACACTATTGTGCTGAATACGTGTAAAATGATGTTATATAATGTGTATGGTATGCATTGTGCACACAGAGATGCATGATCATGCACTTGTGTTGTCTGACGCCAGGTGCACATCGGAGGATGTCAGCTGACTCTGTCAAATCTGGTTACGGTAAAAGACCCCGTACTTCATCTCACCGGAAGCATGGGAAGTGTCGGTCATGTCGGCAGAAAGACGTGTGTCTTGTGTTTCTACCCTGTGGTCACGTGGTGTGTTGTGATGACTGCGGCGCGTCCCTCAACACGTGTGTGGTGTGTGACCGACCCATCAGGGGCAGTATCAGAACCTATTGATGTCACAGACCCCCATACACAGTGAAAGCTCTGTGATGCCACCAGGAACTGCAGCAGAACTTTGTATGAGTTAGTCTCTCTTTGTGTCATTAAATGAAGTCTTTGATAGACATTTAAAAGTTGCAAGAACATGCCCACATAACATTTTATAATGGATAATATTGTACACTTTATTCTTTGTTCCGAAATGTTATGTATTTATAACAAAATTATATAATTCAATAAATATGTAAATTTCGTCATTTCACTATTATTGTTTCAGAGACATATATTTAGGTTTATAGCGAGTTTCTTGCCGCGCGTTTGCTCTTCTTTAAATACGGAGGAGCACTATCCAGTGTATCACGATTGTATGCTTCAATAATTCATACATTCAAATCAACTGGGGTTCAAGTGTTATAAGCTTTGTCAGATTTGGTACTTAATTCTAATGAAATACCAAATTATAACTCCAGCATTAAATATATTGTTTTTTTATAAGTGAAGTCTTATTAAGCCTTTTTCAATAACACCCATGTTTTCTGTATTGTAACAGGAACCATGGCAGATAACATGTACTATCTGACATTCTTGGAATTTGATGTATGTATTTGACATATAACATTACTTTACAACAATCGCATCTGCAGTTCTCTCCTGCATTCATGCCACCTGTGAGGCAGTATACGCTCACCTGGTATCATCACTATTTCACGGTGATTTGCGTGGATCGAGGCTCATGATGTCAATCACTGGATTGTCTGGTCCAGACTCGATTATTTTACAGACCGCCGTCATACAGCTGGAATATTGCGGCGTGCGTTACACAACACACCAACCAAAAAATCATAAACCCATGCTCATAATATACTCGGAGTCGTTCACTCTATCCTGCTTTCGGCATCGATATCTTACAAAATTAAATATGGAAAGGATTTTGTCGATTTTATTTACTGTTCACCAGGTAATTACGACTTTGGACATACCACCAGATATCACATGTCACTGATAAAAAGGTGAGTTTGAGTCATGATCAAATACCCCAAGCAATCCATCTGTTTGTGACAAGCACATCCATACCAGCACTATGCATGTATGTACGTCTTCTTTATCATGGAACATATTTCAGCTGTTTCATCTTTTACAGTCTTCTTTTTACAAACAAATTTCGCATCTAACAACCTTCCCTAGAATTGTGTTTCTTTCCACCTTTTTAAATCATTGCTAAAGATGACCACACCTTGTTTGGATCAAAGATGCGAATCAAATATGCGAAGAGGATAAGGAAAAATGTGTTGATAAATGTCAGGGCAATCCAAATTGATCATACACTGATACATAACGTATGCCGTATATTTAGCCATACCCACTGTGAGATCCACGTCATGTACGTACTTATCACTGGTGCTGATCGATGTCAGAGTCGTATATAGAACACTCAGCCAAGATTACTAGGGAGAGTGTGTACTCTCCATATAAAGGACAGTTCACACAGGCCTCTACCGGAGTTACAGAATTATACCACGACAACAGACAGGTAAGCTGTTCAATAAATTTATCACTATGTACATATATGTATAAGCAACTACATCGATAACCAGTGACTGCATTGACAGATTATTAATATTATAATGAAGGTCACATTTGTCACAGCAAGAATAACCCAATCACAAAGGCATGGCGGTTAAAATACTAGCGGGGTATGTCGGTTACAAACATTGTGGTTCAAATGGTGTAACCTTTCATTGCACAAGGAAGTAAGGACGTGTATGAGTTGGAATTTGAATAGTGTGAATTTTATGCTGTGTTTGTGTACATATAGTGGAACTGTCATTCTTTCAGTCACTGGATGGCATCGACAAACTATATTATGAAACAAACAAACTTAGAATATAGACTAAGAGTAGTGGAAGTTTTCTTCAATTTAAGCTATTCAAGTAACTTGTACTTGATTAATTGTTTGACGATTCTACTAAATGGTCTCTTTCTCTGTCTCTCTCTCTCTCTTTCTCTCTCTTTCTCTCTCTCCCCTTTCTCTCTCTCCCCTTTCTCTCTCTCCCCTTTCTCTCTCCGTATCTCTGTCTGTCTGTCTGTCTCCCTCTCTCTCTCTCTCTCTCTCTCTATATTATTATATATATATATATATATATATGTGTGTGTGTGGAGGGGGGGGGGGGGGGGTTGGTGTATCAATGGTGCAATCTATTGATTCTAAAGTTAGTAATATTGTCACATTTGTAATATGTGAAAAATACTAAAAGAATTACTAACATGTAACTTACTTCATGTTAGCATCATATGTATTTAGTTTTATTCGCAAGTCTGCATGATAATACACTGTTGGCGCTATAAATATCATCGTTGGGTTTCCAGGTGTAATCGTTCATTTGTGGATCTAAAAATAGATTGGGGCAACCTGCATTGTTGGTCATCTCAGATGAGGTGGAGACACTTTCGCGACTGATGTCGCCGCTTGTATATGAGTGTATTTATACTTCCAGCTCACACCTGACGTTCAGAGCCGTGCCGATACATAATATAATAATAATAATATAGTTTATTACAGTGTCATGTGTTACAAAGCAATACAACATTTAGCACATACTTAAAATACAAACACCAGGCCTCAGTGGGCCGAAATGACACTTTAAGGTATTACAAATATTAAAATACAATTAGATATAAAAAGTAACCATGCACATTCTTAATATCTACATAAACACATATTCACTAACACAATCACATAATGCCTTCATGCATACACACATATATACATACGCACTCACGCACGCACGCACGCACGCACGCACGCACGCACGCACACAATCAATCATTCTAATATTCTCCCGCACATACTAAACAGACACGCAAACACATTCAGATATCTCCCACCCCGTCACTCGAGACATACACGCACGCACACATACACACACACACACACACTCAACCTCACTCACAAATACACCCATACCCAAATTCATGCATCTACACACACTCCATATCCTTTCTTCTGACCGTACCAACATTCATATCCCCTCCCCACACACACCCATAACCCATAACCTCACACACTCAATTACACTTTTCATATAAAATTCATATTCAATAGTTAAGTTATTGTACACCTTGCAGCCTTTTGTGATACATTTTCTGAACACATCTCGCCAATTCTAGCTGGATACGTTCAGTGTTCATCAACCACTTATATTTATCTAACGTGGACAGTTCACAGAAACTACTGAACTGATTATTGCATGTATCAAATAAACATTTCCTTAAAACATTGTAGAATTTGCACACCACAACAAAGTGAACTTCATCTTCGATTAACTGTTCCTGACATAGTTGACAAAGTCTATTTACCAAGGGAGTCACAGGCTTGGTATTCCTGCCACTTTCTATAGCCAGGGGAATGTTTCCACAATGTAATGAGGCTAATATACTTCTTTGTTGTCTGGGTAGAGACATTTTCACATAGTGAGAAGTTTGGATAGTTTCTTTATATTTCCTATATGTTCGTAATTTATTTCCATTGCAATTACCTTTGTCATTAAATATATCCGAGAACCACTTTTGTATGTCTCTTGTATCTAACACTTCAAGGCATGCTTTGAGAAATGAGGCACGTTTAGCCTTGACACAAAAATCTAAAACGTCCATATTTCCATGAATATCTATTTTTTTCACAAATTCACACACCCTATAATCCCAGGAGGATTTTCTTTTAAATGACCATTTATGGACTATGGCACACACAGATGTTTCACAGGAGGTGATGATTTTATGGAAACTTCGAAGAACTTCAATTTTAATTTTAGTATTTTGGCTTCTCCACCCCATCTCTCCTCTGACGGCAACATTAGAGGCATTCTTTCTCACTCCCAAGAAGAATCTGGAGGCTTTATTCTGAATATAACTTATTTCTTTGTACATATTTATGCCCCACACACTTGCACTATAGTTAAGAACTGGTTGCACATAACTATCAAATAATTTTGTGAACACTGCATGGCTTAAACCTCCCGAATGGTTGAGCTTACTGAAACTAACTCCAAGTGCCCTGTTTGCCGCATACAGCGTCGCTTTAGCTGGTACAAGGGATGAGGTTAGACTTACATTTAGTCTCTGAAATCTTATATTACACAATATCCTTCTTGCCTCTAAAAACAATTCCCTATGTGGAATAGAACTAGCTTGCGCTGGCTAGACTTGCTTTTGTATGCGTTTCTAGATTATTATTTTTTCATAAATGAAATATATTCCAGTCATGGTGCAGGACTAGGATGAAGTGTGCAATTACAGTAATAACTTCTTGAAACATGTTTAATGCGGATGTGTGTATTTTAAACTTATTTTAATTCTAACAGGGTATTATATGTGATGGATGAATACATACTGAGCCTCGGATTATGATTTGAATTCAAAACTGATTTGAACTGACGAACAGAATATTATCACGGCAATAGGCATATTTGACACACAGAAACATATACGATCAATGGAGTGAGTTCGTTGAGGTGGGGTGGGAGCTAATTATAAATGACGGCATGTCTGCTTAATGTGGGAGGAAAACCCAACGTGATGCAGGTCTTAGGTCTTTGCCATTTTAGTGAAAACCACATTGAAATAGCAATGCGAGTCCCACGCGAATACAATATTTGAAGCAACGATCATATAGTTCTGGCACGTCCGTGGTCCCTCTATTCAGTGTAAACATGTTGAAAATTGATCTAAGCTTAAATGTTCATACTTTTGTCCTTCTGGTCCAGCTAACATGACTCCGCTTGTTTCATTATTTCTTTTAGAGAAATGAGAAAGATGAGGAAGTTCCTTTTAGATCACGATATAGACAAAATCTCACAAGCATGTTCTTGGGACGTCCATGAGATGAAGGACCTCCTTTCAGCCAGTCCAGAGGCTGAAGGTGGCCTTGGCATCCAGGAGCTGGTGAACCTGTCTGACAGGTTTCCAGGAAAGTACCCAGAGAGGCCTGACCTCTTCTTCCAGGACAGATTGAAGACACTGATGAGTGTTGATGATGCCGTTGGAGCCATGTCCCCCGAGAAACTCACCCAGGTTGCCCGAGCCGGGTTATATCGATGGGGTATATACGATGGCATTACAACCACCATGATTCAGTTTGTACCGTATCAGATGGACGAAGTTCGAATGAGTGAGTGAGTGAGTGATTTTGGTTTAACGCCGCTTTTAACAGTATTCCAGTTATATCGCGGCGTGTCGGCTTAATGTGGGAGGAAAGCCCGAAGTGATGCAGGTCTCAGACGTTTACCACTTCGGTGAAACCAACGAGCAAGGGTATGATGCTGACAAACCTTGAAACATAATCAGGGCGAACCGGGATTCGAACCCACAATCATAGGTTTCTTGCCCAATGGACGCAACACTGCACAGCAAATCGCGGCGCCTTAGACGACTGGGCCAGCCGTACCCCCAGTTCGAAATAGTATGTATTGATACAATTATTTAACTCGTAGGTGGCCATTAGATATATTTCTTTAGCCATGCTGTAACTGCCGTATTAAATCTGTCGACGGAAGTATGTGAAAAGAGCTATCAGATCTATTTTCCCCAATTTGGTATTGGTGACCAAATGAACAATTTAATTGTGAGTCATATCTTATTTCATGTCATGTGAATATTAAAACAAATATATCTTGTTCAGAGGGGTCGTTTCAGGCAAGACGACAACTTTGGCTTGTTACCACTGTGGGTGTCAGGCAACAGACTGGCTCGCGGATGATGACCCATGGAACAGACATGCCGAACTACAGCCCAACTGCCCGGTTGTCAAAAGGGGTGTGGTCATCTGGCGAGAGGGAGGGGTAGGCTACACGGTTATAGATCGATACATTACAGATATTTTACTTACTGTTCTTGATGTTCGGCCAAATTAAGAAATACAAGTATAGTCATATTAAAGACGTTCCATAAAATGCAAAGAATCTGAAACGTTCGTACACCAGTGCTTTTGCGTTATGGATCTGACACGTTCACATTCTTATTATACCTTTCACATCTTGCAGAGGCCTGTAAACCACCTCCTGAGACGAAGCCTATCCCAGGACTAGACATCACTGTTAACGTCACCATCACAGTCCTACAAACAATCAAAAGGACACCGACTTCATAATCCAAATTGGTATCAGATCAGACGAACTTCTACAAAACTATTGTTTTGTAGTGGAATACTTAAAAGATTGCTATTTCAAGTGTAAACGATCATCGCTGTAAAAATGTATCTCCGCCAAACACTGTCTGAATTGCGATTCAGTGATTCACAACTATACTAGATTGATGCATGGAGATCATATATATTTTCTTCACTTACATAACCGACTTCCCTGCACAACTGTTCTTCATTTATATATCCGACTTCCCTGTGCCTGTTCTTCCGTTATATATCCGACTTCCCTGTGCCTGTTCTTCCGTTATATATCCGACTTCCCTGTGCCTGTTCTTCCGTTATATATCCGACTTCCCTGTGCCTGTTCTTTCGTTATATAACCGACTTCCCTGTGCCTGTTCTTCCGTTATATATCCGACTTCCCTGTGCCTGTTCTTCCGTTTTATATCCGACTTCCCTGTGCCTGTTCTTCCGTTATATATCCGACTTCCCTGTGCCTGTTCTTTCGTTATATAACCGACTTCCCTGTGCCTGTTCTTCCGTTATATATTCGACTTCCCTGTGCCTGTTCTCTGTTATATATCCAACTTCCCTGTGCCTGTTCTTCCGTTATATATCCGACTTCCCTGTGCCTGTTCTTCCGTAAATTCGTTTATATATCCGACTTCCCAGTGCCTGTTCTTTCGTTATATATCCGACTTCACTGTGTCTGTTCTTCCGTTATATATCCGACTTCCCTGTGCCTGTTCTTTCGTTATATATCGGACTTCCCTGTGCCTGTTCTTCCGTTTTATATCCGACTTCCCTGTGCCCCTTCTTCCGTTTATATCCGACTTCCTGTATCCTTCCTTCGATGTATCTGTTCTTCATTGATAATCCGACTACTTCCTGTATCTGTTACTCACATATATACCCGACACCCCTTAAATATGTTCTCCCTGTATTTTTTCCGCTATGTAGCCGACTTAATTTTTGTTTTCTCATTTGGATATGTTTGTTTTCAATCAAGTTTCCTATATAAGCATGGATAAGATTAACTGTATCAAGCCCTGCTCCTGCACATTAGGTTATACTGAAGGAAAGAAATAAGGGAACACATACGTGTTGCAACGTATCAGGAGGGTGTTAACTGATGAGTGCTTCACGTCCACAAATGAAAGCTGAGAGTGAAATATTGAATGGTTATGTGTGTTAACAACATTGGCAAGTTCTAGTACAGAATACGGCATGTCAGGTTACGTCTACACTCTCATTTTATACGGGTTCCTTTATTTATTTCAATGAGTATACAGTGCAGAAACAGCAGTCTGCATAGATACATGTATGGTGTACAAGGAGACTATCTGAAAACTCAAATAGTAATGGGTATACCACTTTAGCAGTCGGAGGTTTCATGCAAGGCACTTATCACAACATCCAAACTTAACTAGGAGCCGAGTCCGCCTTTAATACTTTAATGTAATCCACTGTTGTCAAAGGCAGCGCAGTATGTTGCTATGGTTAATATAAAGTTTATTTCACAGCCGAACCAAAATTACATAGGAGATTGACTGATATTTTTTCATTATTAGGATTCTGTGGTCTGTTCTGGATGAAGGGGTAAGCATATACTCCCAAACGTTTTTTCCTCATAATAAAGAAGTTGACATCCATAAATTCTCTTCCTTATGTGTATCACTTCTAAATGCCTTTCAAAGACTTAAATTCTCATCCTTCTTAATATTCTTCATCTAGTCACACTCCAAGAAATAAAATCAACAAAACCCTTTCCTGATTCATTAGAAATCCCTGCTAAAGCGGTGTCCATTATAGAATTCCGACCATATCATAAACATTGCGTTTTTTGAATCACTGTCAAATTGTGACGAATGCCAAAAAGGATCAATTGTTTTCTATCGTATCGAAAGACATTTACAGGTATGGAAACTACCGTCGAAACTTCTAATTTATAACTGACTACCATCAGCAGGCATGTAGGAAGTAGAGGATGGTTCTTTCGCATATACCGTATTCGACGTAATAAGCGCACCGCTCTAATAAGCGCCCACGGCGATATTTGCTAATATGTTGGCCAGTGAACAATCCCAATTAGCACCCTTCCGATTGGATTGCTGTATGCACCCTTAATTATGGGCAATTAAATTCTTGAAAAATATATTTTAATAGGGGCCCCTTTTTTCTAATTTTGAGAGCGCCCTGGGCGCTTATTTAGGAGATAAACCTACTGTGTTTTGAAATTTGATGTAGTCCCACTGTAGAATAGATACCTCTTTATTATAATTTTGAACCGAGCGCTTTAGCGCGAGGTTCCAAATTATAATAAAGAGGTTTCTATTCTACAGTGGGACTACATCAAATTTCAAAACACAGTAGGTTTATCTCCATTCTACCATGACGGCAACAACGCTTTGAAAACGGCGCTCTCTTGCAACGCGTAATAACACAGGTGCACAGGTCCGTGATCTTAGAACATTCCGAAAAGTGGTCACAGGTAGTTATATATGTAACAAATATTACTAAAGTTCAAGATTAAAAAACACCAAAGTCGTGAGTAGTTCATAATAAGTGTTCAAAACACATAGTTTTTCAAACGAAGTTGACAAATAACACTCCTAACTTAATCCAAAGAGAGATGTTTTAATTTCTTTCGAACTGTTGCACACTATTGAACACTGTGGACTGGCTGTCGTTTCTCGGAAATTTGTGAGAGCGGTCATTTCTTGGAAATCGAACATGCCATCATTTCTATTGTAGGGGTGACGGGTAATAGATAAAGGTTTTAAAATGCTAAACGAATATATTTCTACAGCAAACTTTATGAATTAACATTCTAATACACATTTAACATGTCTAAGAGTTATTAGTTAGATAGCAATTACCCCCAGTAAACAATAATAACATCAAAGTAAATGCCTCTCCACCCCGAACTTGGATGTGGCAGAACTTGACCTAAATCACGGTTACTCACACCTCACAGCTGTCAATGGCTGACAATCATGTGTTTACATTAACTTGATCTAGTTAAAAGAAGCAAGATGACAACCCCGATCTATGATGTGGTTCAACATTTACCTGTAGATTTACTGGGATTGATCGAGCCTGCTGGTACATCCATATGATTACCAATGGAACTGAGTATGACTGAACAGCCGCTGTTTAGGCTGCAGACGAGCCGGATATTTTGAAACGAGGAATCTGCATGAGTAGTATAGGTAATGATGGTTCTGCCGCAACTCCACTGGAGCTGGATTTATATACCTATACTGCTACTACAGGTGGCATTTTTTATGCCAAAATGATGATGCGATTTAATGATAGTCATAAGATTAAGTTAAATTGGCTCTAGCTCACCAATACCTGGGGCCAATCATTGCTTTAGATGAGTCTAAATGGTAATAAAAATATTCTTCATTATTTTTATCGATAAAGCGATATTCAACATTTTTATTAAGTTCTTCGTTCATTTTACTAGGAGACCAGACTATATAACTACACTCTTTTTGTAAATTGATAAGAAACAATTGATAACCGTATTTGGTTGGTTTGACATCACTGATATAATAAAAACCTTGTGGTAATTCTTTCCATTGAATAGCTTTCTCCATTATTATATATTTATGTTAGCATTTGTCTAAATGTAATCACACGATAGTAAACAATCTATTTTTAATCTCCAACCAGTTCTTTGGTTTTGGCACGGAATAATTGACGCGCTTGTTGCCTCCCCTCTTCTATGAACTTTTTTTTCTCGTCTTCGCTAATACCACTGGTCTTACGAGATTTTGATCGAATCTCCTGCTTCATTTTATTGTATTTGTTGAGCTCCGACAGCACTAAACGAAACTCATCCTCGGATATCTTACAATCGGCCATTGCTGTCGAAATATGATCCTCAATGCTGTTCAACTTTGCTTCGGCGAGTATCCGAATACTATCGTGTTTTAATGCTTTCTTTTGTAACCTACGAGAAATGAATTTTATCGCTATTCCTGCCAGTCCCGAGACTCCAGCGGTTATTTCCATGCCGAGCACGATAGGCGCGGCGATTATAGTTGATAGTAAACCGATACCCGCTACACCGAGTCCCATGCCAGATACTACAAGAGCGGTGTTAACTCCGTCCAGAACATTCACGGCTCTGCGATACTTTTTATACAATCCAAGTCTCAACTCCCTCTCCTTCCCTATTCGATGTTTTATGTCGCTTATTTGATGTAATCGAAATCCATCAACGGTATCCATCTTTTCAAATGCTTCATTGAGCGCCGGATATAAACTCATAGTGTATATAACGATCATATAATAGTCTTTAATTGGTCTTGCTTAAATGTTTTGAGACTATACATCAACCTTATCAAATGTATATTATACGGCAAGAATATCTTAGTAAGAGAAATACTATCACTTTTAATAATTTGGACCCCCTCGAGGGTTGCAACGGGCGATGCTCCGATATGAATAATACTGCAACGTTGACGCTCGTGATTCTTGAACCATTTAATCGATAGACCTGGTAATATATCGAAGGCATCTTCCGGTGCATCTCCGAACAAGACTTCAATAATAAGCGTAGAAATATTAGGTATTGCACTCAGGTTAACTTTAATATCTTCGAATTCAGTAACCAAATTTAAACTAATGTTTTTTAAGGACGGACGACTATATAACATATGACCTGGGTCATCTGGCAGGGGAGTGACCAACACACTTTTTCGTTTTGATGGGATATAAGCCGCGAGTACGATGCCACTATTTATTATCTTAGTTAAATTATGTCCCTTACCCATCATCACATAAGGTGGGGTAATGACGATATTCAGTAGCCACTCGATGTTTGCTTCAACCATAGTCCATTTATTATCGTCGTTGCGAGTAATATTGTACGAAGTGTTTTTAAGGAGTCTACTAACATCAACATCGCTTAAATCTCCTAGATTACCCGTGAATGTGACTTCTTTCCGATTGTATACATTATCGTGTAAGTGTAAAGCATATAACTTACCATTGGTACCGGGTTTACCGAATCCTTCTGTGTCTCCGAGATCGGAAAGCGCAATTGTATTACATTGTCTTACTGTTCCAGGGCCTGATGCATCAACCATTATTTTTAATATGGAGTGTTACACTTAAGTATCCTATATGTACTGGTTGGTGTTTTACATCTAATACAGAAATTTTAAGGTCTGAAATAATACCCCGCTTTAATTTTTTATATTGTAATAACGAGAAAGATTCCGTTCTACCGCTATTATATTTTTCATTTTTCACTGGAACACTTCTGAGAAGAGTTGAAGGACTTTCAAGTTGAATATTATCCGTCGTGCTTATTTGATCAAGATGAATGAACAACTCTTTATAGGGAACTAAATCGGGCAATGTATTTCCATGTTGTGTTTCATTAGAACTTATAATTTTAAGCTCAAATCCAAGTGTAATTCCTAAGTATGGGATAAGAATTACACCATTTTCTCCAGTGTCGATTTTCAGCATCCCATTCGATTCATTTTGTGAGAGACTAATTCCATTAGGCTTAAAAATTTCATCATTGAGTGAGCATACGCTGTAATACCCATCAGGTATAGTAATGTATTTGTCAGGAGCATCTTCATCTAATATATGTATCCTATTATTAATTTTCGCAGCACTTATATTGGTCCACAGTGGGTAATACGTTACATCGCATAGAGCGACTTCAAGTTGTCCATCCGAGTTATCGATAGTACGAAGCAGTTGAATAGACTGACCATTTGTTATTCCCAGGAGTGTAACATACATATCAAATATACAATGATACTATATCATAACTTAAATATGGAATTAACCATTATTTTTAATATGGAGTGTTACACTTAAGTATCCTATATGTACAGGTTGATGTTTTACATCTAATACAGAAATTTTGAGGTCTGAAATAATACCACGCTTTAATTTTTTATATTGTAATGTTGAGAAAGATTCCGTTCTACCGCTATTATATTTTTCATCTTTAACTGGAACACATCTGAGTAGAGTTGAAGGACTTTCTTGTTGAATATTATCCGTTGTACTGATCTGATCAAGATGGATGCACAACTCTTTATAGGGAACTAAATCGGGTAATGCATGTATATTCACTGTTTTGTTGGGTGGTACTACTACTGACTGTCCAAATCCAAGTGTAATTGCTAAGTTCTCGTCAATAATTATACCTGTTTTTCCAGTGTATATTTTCACTGTCCCATTCGACTCATTTTGTGTGATACTCATTCCATTAGACTTAAAATTTTCATCATTGAGTGAGCATACGCTGTAATACCCATCAGGTATAATAATGAGTTTTTCACTACCCCTGTTTTCACCTGGTATAATCATCTTATTATTCCTTTTTGCAGCACTTATATTGGTCCACAGCAGATAGCGACTTCAAGCTGTCCATCCGAGTTATCGATAGTATGAAGCAGTTCAATAGACTGACCATTTGTTATTCCAGGTAGTGTAACATACATATTAAATATACAATGATACTATATCATAACTTAAATATGAAATCGAGATACATTACTAATCAATCGATTATAGTAACTGCCTCTGGTGCTGAATTTTTCGTTAAATTCCCAGATATCTTTGAAAAGTACAGGGTCACGGCAACTAGCGATAAAATGGTGCACGATTGGTTT